GGTCACAGACACTGCCGCCAATTCTACCATTGGGGATTACACACTTATGGAAAAAGCTATCAAACCCCTACCAGGAAAATGGACGGGCCAGGTATCGTGACTACCGATAAATTAAACACATGCACTCCTTCCAGTACCTATTTTTAACCATACCAACTAGATCCAGTTGAAATTCAACAACAATAATTTGCTAAAAGTCCAATAAACCCACTCCTGATTATGATAAAATGCAGTACTCCACAAAATCTGCATTCAAGTCTATGTTATGTTAAAAAGGGGCAATTACCTGGAAAAAAAGAGTGAATTTATGAAAAATCAAGAATGGAAATGAAAAGAAAGAATGAAAATAGTGCTTCTGAATCTTCCACTCCAGGATATCAAACAAGATTGACCAGTATAAATATATAAAGTAAAACAAGACATCATCCTTGGAGACCCAGGGTCAGTCAGTCGGGTCAGGAGAAAAAGTGTGACAAAAGTTTTCAAGCAAGGGTGGAAGAGCCCCTGGGTACTGACTCTCACCAGTCCCTTTTTAAAATGGCATCTGATTGGGCACAAAAAATACTTTGTATTACTGTGCCTAATCGGAGAACAGCATCTCCTGAGTTCTTTTCATTTGTTCGTACATGATGGCTATTGTCTTGCCATACTGGCCTGGTTCATTCATCAAGGCTGTGCATGCAAGGGAAACTTTCATTTTCTATTTTCCTAACCAGAAAAAAAGAACTACCCATTATTCACGAAAACGTTTTGGATGCTACCAGCAGGATTATTCCAGTTTAAACAGAGAAAAATCTGTCTTTGACCGATCACAAGGTATTCAAATGATATTTACGAAGGTGTGATTGTTTCAAGCTTAAATGCGTGTTGTAAGCTCAAGCTGGTATTTTGGAAAAGCATCTTTGAAATAACCATACATACATTTTACATGTTTTAGTTTCTGGTTTTTCAACAGTATTTTGAAACGGACAGGGTTTATAATTATCAAAATGAAAGTTTCCCATGCATGCACTCGCACAACCTTAAGAGACAATAGCCATTTTGTACGTTGTTTGTTTCATTTTTTTGTGCCCAATCAGGAGTCAGCATTTGCTTGACCCTTTGGAAATGGTCTGGTGGGAGTTGGTACCCAGGGGATCTTCCACCCATGCAGCCATGTGCTTAAAAACTTTCATCACACCTTTTCTCCCACCCCGACTGACTTCCCCTGGTTCCCCAAAGATGCTAAGACATTTGATAGCACTGCAAATAAATAACTAAATAAATGAACAAATCAATAAAAAATACACAAAACCGGTTTTAAAATCACTCGCAATCAGCCTTTTTAATTTTTTACATTTAACAAGTAACTTATGGCAAAATATATCGCTTTCTCCAGCGTTTGGCCAAAGAACAAATAAATCGAAAAGAGAAAGTTTGTTTAAACATTATCAAAGGATATCACAATTCCCCAAGCAGAAAAACGAGAGTCATGTTCTATTAAATTGTTAAATGCGACCAGGGAATGTTCCACTTTCTACTTGTTCAGACCAGTTGTCAACCTATAAAGGACCAAATCCATATCAGTATTTTGTGTTTCTTAACCCTTTAAGTACCAATATCCACATAAAAATTCTCCAGACTGACTTCCATATGTTTCCTTGAAGAATCAGTTGAGAGAATTTGTTAACAGATCAAGGCACTATCCCCTTGGTGGTCAATTAATTAATTCTCATGACCTTTTCTGTTGTTTATGTATTGGTTATTGTTCTGGAGAAAAATAAATTGATGTTGGTCACTCCTGGGACTTAAAAAGAAGTGTAAACAGAATATATACCAGCCTTTAAGCCCAAGGTGCAAAGAAAGTCAGCTATAGCAGTCGGCAGAGAAGTGTGGAGGCCTTATGTGTAACAAAGCGCGAAGATGGGGGGTGAGGTGAGGTGACTACTTAAAACAGGGCCTGTGCTGGATTACAAAGAAGCATCATTGTAACCAATTAAACAACCCTAAATCATAATTTCAAAACCTGACATGTATGGGGCAGTTACAATACTACTTACCCATAACTTAGGGCACAGAGATGTAAAAGCTTTCTTAAAATATAAACAACTGTCATGCTCCTCTCCAAGCTTTTTAGAACAACGATGGAAGTCTACAAAGTTCTGCCAACAATTCTTTGTCTGGTTAGTGTATGGAAACCTGGCATCAAATGGAGCAGTCTTTAAGACGACTTCTGTAATTTCTCCTTCTTCTCCCATGGTTTTTCTTTATCTTTCTAAAATGTCATAAAGTATTAAGGAAATTGTCACTAAAACTGTGAGGGTGAACTCAGCAGCAAAAAAGTGCTTTATCACCAGGCCCCAGTTATTCCAAAGCTGGATGATACTATCCACTGCAGAGTTGTCAGTAACATTTCAAGTTTCCAAGTAAATACAATAAGTAGGCAGGGAATCAAACAGCTAGGGATTTCTTTTGGTTCTATTTTTCTTCTATATTTTTCCTTTGAAAGTATCTGGCGGCCACATTCATAGTAGCCAGGGGAAATCCCTGGCCCCCACCTGTTAATGACAGCCCTGCAGTGGATAAATCTCTATCCAGCGGATAATGCAATATTGGTTTCCCTAATACACCTGTACTTATCCGCTGGATATTGAATTATTTATCAGGGTGGATAGCACTATCCAACTTTTGAACAAGTGGGGCTAGCACTGCCACTAAGGGCTGAGGGATGGGGATTTCCCCTTGGGCTACTATGACAGGGCTGTGTTCTAGCAGAGCCCAGTGGCCCCTAGGGCCTAACTTTTGCTCTCAGGCGACTAGAAAATCTCAGTTTTCTCATACAAATCAAATGCTGGGCACCCTAGATTTTACAGGTTCATTGTGCTGGGCACCCCTCAATTTTCCATCGAGCACAGCCTCGTATGAGCTTGACCCCCGGCTACTTTCATAGGAAATAAAAGGAAAATTGAACCAAAAGAACTTCCCAGCTCTACAATTCCCAGCCGATCAAAAGCATATACCCGGGAAATTGAAATTGAGGAAAAAATTTAACTGGTTTTATTATAGACCAGGGCCCAGTTTTCTGAAGGCCAATATTATTGTTAACCAGTTACTATTAAAGTGTAATCCAAGTTCTTGTTTCTTCTGTTCAAAAGCATTTTTTTACTGTTTTAAACCAGCTGTTTTGAGTGTCCAATCAACAAATTTTGGGCAACAAGAATTATTATATTTCATATATTTGTTATTAAATTATTTCAATCTGAATTTGCTTTCCACAGTCAAACTGGCATTAAGCGATCCAGTATATATTAAGTGGTTACTCTCTATTATATATTAAACAGCCAACTTTTATTGAGCAGTCAGCTGGCCATTCCCCAAAGGTGATCGCTTAATACGTAAGATTTGACTGAACGAGTAGACTGTTCACAGTCCCCTATTTTTCTGTGAGATCGTCGAGATTGAGCACTTTCGGTTATGGGCAGCCATCTTGGATGAGTGTCAAAACTACTTACAGCTGTAAGGGGTGGGGGGAAGGGAGGAAAATAGAGGGACTATCCTAACACCACTGCAACTTGTGTTCAGGGCGGGTGACACGAATTTCACGCCTTTTACCATTCATTGATTAAGAAACTGCCCTGGTGATGAAAAACATGCCAGACACATTTAGCATCAATAATCATCAGGTGTTTACAAACATCTCCTTTCAAGACAGTGATTTTCTACAGTTACTAGGACATTCCTCCAAATAGAATTGGCAAACATGCACAGTTGAAACATTTTCTTAATCAAAGCCGCAAGCATGCTCGCTTCAACACAGATTAAAATGGTTAAACCTCCAGATAAAAAGCCAGGCATCTCTAACATGGGCCGTCTTTTCTGCATCTTTGTACCATTAATTTCAGTTCATTTGGCAAAAGCTGTGTTACAACATTCCCCTGACCAGGCTACTTCAAAAGCATGTTGGCTTATGTGATTCATCCTCAAAATACCAAAAATCTTTTGTGTGTTTACGCAAAATGTGCCTTGCAAATTTACACTAGCATTGGGTTTGAAAACAATACCTGCGAGGAAAGTAGCGATAATTGGTGTTTCAAACAGCCAAACAGTTTTTATGTCACCCCTCCTCCAAAACTACTTCATGCCAATCAAAAATAAATTCCTTCCCCAGTTTTGATGGCCCAAAGTGGTGAAGATCCAAAATGACTCAAAAGTTAAGTTGGGTGAACAGGTATTATGAAGTGTGCGTTTTACAGAAACGACGCCTTCTCAGTGTCAGCAACTTAAACTAAACCCCTTGTCAATGCAAATTAACATCTATTGTGTAATAACCAATCAAATGCCTCACTCTCCATTAATGCGAGCTGTAGTGATGTTAGGACACTCCCTCTACTTTTCTTGCCTCCCTCCCCCTACCACTTTAAACCCCAACGCCTGCCTCCTTGGTACATATGAAACCAAGATGGTTGTCCTTACGGTAAGTGTTCGATTGATCATTCTGACGATCTTACAAAAAAATAAGGAACTGTGAGCAGTCTACTTTATTAGCAAATCGTCTGTTAATTTACAAGCCTTAATTAACAATCTGTTCTTCAGTTATTTCACAATACATACAATCTGCACAGACTTTTAGTTATAAGAAGATTGTATTAAGCTACATCGCCCATTTCTAAAGCTAAAAATAACGGGAATATATTCGTACGTGCAGTTGGAACCGTACGTGTGAACTGAGCTTGTCTAATTCTGAGTTTATGCTTAACAAGAAAAGCTATTCCGGGTAGTCTATTATCTTAGTAGACATTGTAACATTTATTTTAAACAAATCCATGTTACTTACCACTGGGAAATACGCCGGTGAACAAGAGAGAAGTGTACAAAGTAAAAACTCTGGGAAGTCAATATGGCGAACAATATGGCGGACGCCGGTGTCTACAATTGCGCATGCTCCTTTCATAGGGTCCTCCATATTGATAAAACTATTGATACACCCTCCAAGCCAAGATACCCATGATGCAACTCCGCGAGCTCAATTTCCTTTCTGACGTGATGCGATGAATGCGGTGGAAGACAATTTGTGAGTTTCTGGGCAGAAAATATCGTTATTTTTCGTTTTCATACAAAGACTTAAGTTTTACTTGAGTTTTAAGAAAGATGATATCAAGTTGGAATGCAAAGGAACTTGCAGCTGCGGCTAATTGGTCAGTAAATTGTGGAAAATTTTTAGGAAACTGTAATGCTCTAGGTCTTGGAATTTTGCCAAACATGGTTGTTTTCATACCGGAAACATTACCTACTGTTTTCCTTTGTGGCGTAGGTTTCTTAACTTCTATCGATTTTTCAGCGTTTATAAAAGCTGACGGATTTAGGCACGCCGTTAAATGTAGGTTGTCTTGGGTCAGTTAGTGGTTTTTTGTGTGTCTATTCTGTCGGACGGTTCATCGTCAATATCTTCTGCGACGAAAACTAGACTGTTGACGCTTTCTCGTCATGGAAATAGTTCACATTTTTGCCCAAATTGTGAATGACGAATTCCCAAGCATATTTTAAACGTTGGTTGAATGTGTGTGAGTTTGAAAAATTTCCCAGAAGTTACATTCTCAGATACCAGATCCCTAACCACGGAAAAAGATCTCCTGATGCCTCTAACATGTGTTGAAATTAAATTTAGAGCAACTACAGAATACAGGGCCATATTTATAAACAGACGTGGCTCAGTGATCCGCTAGTAAAGGTATATTTAGTGGCTTGGTGGTTTGTCATTTGGAAAGGACAGAAAGTGACACTTCTGGTCCTAGATGTTGAAAAGATGGGATAAATCATTATCTGGTGGATTAGTAAGAAACCCAGGTTAATTTATCCAACATTTATTAAAGCATTTTTACAGCCTGTGTGGCAATCATAATTTAACCCCAGTTAATAATGTCTGCGAATCAGCCCCGGGGTCAAAATGATAAAACTCTTACAAGTGTGGCCCTTGTTTTAGTCTAAAAACAGCAGCTACACTTGTGAATTACACCTGTAAAAGTTTTATTGTATTGACCCCTGATGTCTTTGTTCTGGGCTACCATTGGACTCAGTGAATTACCAGGGATGCATTTTGAATTTTCGTTCAGCCTTATCAGCAAGTCAACAATGGCATCTTAACAGAGCCAATCATGCCACAAACACAGATCCTGAGTACATAGTTAAGGACCCAGAGCAAGAAATTTGGGTTAATCAAAAATCTGGCACCTGATTTGGCATGTTATGGCCAGATTTTGGTTGTCAAATGACTCTTTTTTTAAAACTATGTATAAAGGTTGTGTTATGCTCAAAAGTCAATTTTCTCAGAAAACTTGGTACTTTTCTGAAAACCCATTTGAGTGTTGCAGAAAAACAAGTCAATGTTAGTTGAGCAGTTTTCTGGATGCTCTAATGAGCTAAAACTTATCAAAAAGCCATTGACAGGTTGTAAACTTATCCAGATGTAAAATATTAATTTCCAAAGTCTGGGCTTGAGCAGAAAGCAAAATTTTCAAAGTAGGTTTTATCAAGATAGTTTTTGGGTTTAAAAGTGACACAGCAGTTTTGACTTTTTCTTTCCTCACCCCTTCTTTTGCTTTTCTTTCCTCAGTGTTTTTCTTTTGCTGGGCAATTAGTAGACTACATTTTGATGGGAAAAGTTTTAGGAAAGCTTTCAGGACCTAAGGATTAGAATGAAAGGAAAGGTTCATGGTTAGCTGAACAAGATTTTCATGGGAGTTTTTCAGAGCAATGTTATTTTGTTGTTGTTGTTGTTGTTTTTTGCCTTTTTCTCCGGCCTCCGTGATGGATCATGCTCATTGTGGTGTGGTTTGTAAGATCTCTTCACCCTGCCCAAGGCTGATGACACAGTTGTCACAGTTGTGGTTAGGGGTTGTTCAGGGTGAATGTGTAACTTGCAGACAGTACACTACAAGTTTTTTCCCATTTTTAACCTGACATTTCTTATGGCAGGTCTCGTCAGTATCAGGCACCCCCTCCTGGTACCAATGAAAATAATGAGAATTCAAGGGCAGTTGATGGCCCCAAACAGGGAGAGACTCCAGAGTGGGAGAGAGCACGCCAAGCCTTAGCTAAAGTCAGCTCTCAGAGTCCCACAAAGTCACCTGTAAAGCCTTCAGTAAACACTACTGCCAACACAAATAATGCCATGACTTCAAATCAGCAGCAATTTCTGGCATGTCAGCAGTACTATCCACAATACTATCAACCATGGAATGGTTATATGCCTTATGGTTACCCCTATCCAGGATACGTGCCAGCATACACAGTCCCTCCTCCTCAACCCACAGTACCACCCTCTCCAGTAAGTAGATTTTTCAGACCTATTTCAAAGTTATGCTAGGCGCTTAAATCAGTTCAAAGGGGACAGACGGCAAATTTTTGTTGTTGGAGTTGTCCATAAGTCGTAACTGTTCATCAGTAAGATGCCTAAAATGTTTTCATTTTCAGAATGGTTTTGGCACCATTTAAATGTACAGTACTTATGTACCAAGTCCAATTTATTGTAGAACATTTATATCAATTTAGTTCTCTGGGAAACTGCACTACCCCAACATTTTTCCCTAAGTAAGTAAGTGTTAATGTTGGCTTAGGGGAGGGGTAGGTGGTTCCCCGAAACCTAAATTGAGCCAAACATTTTAGGAGGAGCCACCCACAATGTGAGCACAGCTACGGACAAGTGGTTTCGGTGTAGGTTAGAGACAAGTGAACCAAAATATATACATCATAACCTGTGTGAAAGAAAATTTGTTTACATGTTGTAGCTAACATCTGTTCCAAGGTTAAACCAGTATTTCCTTTTTCTCCTTGAATAATTAGAGCTAGCAAGCAAAGGAAATCCAGAATGCTGGTTCATCTTGCGAATGGATTTTACCTACAACATAATGCTTGAACAGATGTCTATCTTGTCTCTTTATTCCCGTTGTTTTTGATAAGAGTAATTGTATGTGACGGAATGTAAAATTTTGGACTTTTTGTCTTCATTTTGGTATCGTGGAATGTTATTTTCCTTTGGTTTGGGTATGACAACTTTTTGAATAACAAGTTTGAGACAGTGGAATATAAAATAAGGATTAAATTGAAACAACAACATCAGGGTTTTCATTAAGACCAGTAGCGGGGAAAGGTGTAATGTTACAGGAGAATATTTTACAAGAGGCTCCGCGTCTGGATAAAAAATGGTCACAGTCTGCTGAACATTAGCCACAGAATTCTGCATAGTAAATGGATAATTCTCCGATTTCTGATGCCCAATGAATGCTGTACAAGATTGTTCAGTTCGAAACTTCTCATCTTACCACAGTACTGTGACAGCAGTACTTCAGTTATTTTTCAACAGCAGACTGACTCAACATTATTGATTTATTAGGCCTACAAACCATCACCACCACAAGTACCTTCATCAACAGCTAGCCCATTAAACTCCACTGAGAGCAGCAGTTCCTCTACCAGTGAAAAAAATAATCGTGACAACAATTCTTTCAATAATCCCTCACGGGAGAACAGTCTTCAGTCAAGACAACCATGGCAAGCTAGAAAACAGCACCACTCACCATTTCCTCAACAACAAGATAAGGTTAGATCTTCACTGAAAATTACTGTGTAAAATAATGTTTTATGTAAGAGCTGAATGTTGTTACCTTGGAAATTTGTGTTAAGAAAGTGGCACATTTTTCCTTAATCTCTACATGTTGTATGGAAAGTCTTGAAGACCAAGAAAACATGTGGAAACACAAATTTTAGGAACATTTTTCTATTTTGTGGTCAACTCTCTGCAGTTCTGTTGTAAGTTTTAAAGTAAGAGAAACAATATTTATTTTGAAGGCCAGATGCAAAATACTATATGATTAAGTTTGCAGACAAGGAGAGTGTTTGATGCTCCATTCATTGCATGCCATTAAATCAGTGTTAGTTAACTATTTTCTGGTCAAAAGAAAAATGGTGTTGATGGTCATCAGTTTACTGTGAAATGAAGTTGAAGCGTGACTTGTTGCATCAAAGAATATTATTTCTTTGACTTGAAGGCCAGATGGAAAGTACTGTATAAGTCAGTTTGTAAACAAAAAGAGTTTATAATTCTGAAGTCATTGCATGTCTTTATATTAGTATATACATTTATCTCTCTTACTTTATAAGTTTTTAGTTGAAGTTCAAAAAAGAGATAAATGTATTTTTATGGATATAACGATATGTGTTTCAGGAAGATTGTAATATTAGATTATGCTCAGTTATTTCAGAAACGTGAGATATTTCTGTTTTCCCATCCAGTGAAAAACAAGATTTAAATAAATTATTAATGGTGATTGCTGCATAGATTATTTCTAGTATTGCTCAGGGCTGTCATTAAGGGCTGGAGGCCAGGGATTTCCTCTGGCTTCCATGAATATAACCTCCAGCTTCTTTCAAAGGAAAATATAATAGAAGAAAGATAGAATCCCTAGCTGCTTATTTCCCTGCCTACTTGTTGTATTTACCTAGCAACTTGAAGTCTTAGGGACAGCCCTGATTGCTTATCTAACTTTATTTTTTTCTGTCATTCAGGAGTTCATCAATAGGGATCAGGAAAACAGACGTGACTCTCAGTTGCCCCCACGACCTGCTTTTGTACCGCGTCAACAACGCAATTCTTACGCTGATGCTGTCAAACGGAACAATGAAAACAGCAACACCAGTGGTAAACAATTTTGGAAACAGTCAAATCAACAAAAGTGGACTGCGGGCTAGTAAATTGTTTGATGTGTTATGTTTCATAAATCTGAGCAGATGTACCTATTCAAATAATTATTCATTATAAGTTTTATAGTTTATCATGTTGTGAAGCTAACAAAGTCACCATCTGAACGTAATGGGTATCAATACTTATAGTAACTTATGCTTCAGCTTGCCACTATATTTACATTTTCTCCGGTGAGATTTAGCAGTGTTGCTTTGTGACCGGCATGTATGCACAGAAAACTTTTGTGGTTTGAGGTTAACTGGACAACTAACTTGGCTTTCAGTTAACCCTTTGAGCCCCAATATCCAGACTCAAATTCTCTAAACTGAATGCAATACATTTACTTAAAGAATAATTCTTTATTGTTTGAGAGAATTTGACAAAGGATTTTTCAAAATGTCCCTTAAGTGATCATTTTAATAATTCTCATTACGTTTCCTTATGATTTTGTATTGTTACTGTTAGCAGAAAATAATTGATCTCGGTCACTTTAAGGGTTTTTAAGGTTAAGTGTCCAACTATGAATGTAACAAAATCATATCTCTTATTGCAGGTGGAAATGTGAATAACAATAATTTTCCTTCAACAACTGCAAAGAAGTTCAGACCATCTTTTGAGGGAGAAGGTGGTCAGTCCCAGGATGGCCGCCGCAGCCCTTCTAGCCATACAGAGCCTGCTGAACAAACCTATGCAAACTGGAGGCAACAGCCACAGCAACAGCAGCAGCGGCACCAGTCACCACCACCCCAGAGAAGACCAAGACAAGAAAAACCCACCCATGAAAAAGAGAACAGGTTGGTGTAGGTTATTTTGACTCTCAGAAGCCTTTGCTACTTCTACAGATTTGCTTTAGCAGTTGACATGGCCATACAAATAAGACAATGATGGTCTTTACACTAGAGCCTTAATAAGCTAAGAAGTATTTCAAGACAAGTAAAGTTTAATTACTTCAAGTAAAATAAGGCATCACACACAACTGATTCTTTTTACTTCGGGTTAACTTAAGCTGTTTTCCCATGCAACATAATTAAGATTTATTGACATGTTTCGCCTTTCTCAAAGCTCAAGAAACCACAAGTCAGCTAAGTCGGTCATAGGGATGGTTTTCAAGTCACTTGAAACTTTCTTGAATAATGAGATGCAAAATAAAGTTATTTGAGATTTTACTTAGGCCTTCACACAAGCATTTTTGGTTAAGTCTAACTTAGCAGCTCTTAAGTCTTATGTAACAGCCTGGTGTAAAGACAACCAATGTTTCAATTTTTTTCCCTATTTGTTGTTTTTGATCTGTACAAACACAGTCTCGGAGAACTTTTTCAGACGAAAATTGAGGGAAATTTCAGCGCATCTATTGTTCTAGTCCCTGCAAAATTTCGGAAGCTTGGGGATGAACCAAAACGAAAGTTCACAGCATGAACCAAAATTTTGTTGTGGAATTTCGAGAAAGCTTCCTGAAATTTCAGTTTGTGTTAAACAATATTTTGTTGCGAAATTTCTAAAGGTATGTAATATCTTGGATTGTGTTGTCTAATAACAGCTTTTTTTCCAGGGATGAAACCTCTCTCTCAGCACAAGAGTGGCCACCAAGTTTGAGGTGCTTCTTAGTTCATATTTGGTCTTCCTTTAACAGTTTAGCAATACAAAAGACAACAAGTATTGACAGGAGAACCCTGAACAGGAAACTGCGTCTCTCACTGAAGGGTTACCTTAGGTTCACCATAGCAATTAAGCAGCAAATAAAAACATAAATGCATAATCAAGTGGAAAATAAGTTATTTAAAATATTAAATTACAAATGTAATTTGAGTAAGAAAAATAAATTCAGAGAAAGAGAATGTAGTAATATCCTTCATGTAGCATATTCCATTAAACTTCAGGAACCATACATCAAATTAAAGCATATAGAGCTGGCTACAGTAATGTTAATGATAATGTTAATAATAATAATGATAATGATGATAATAATTATAAAAAAGACAAAAATGATACTAATAGTTATCATAGCTTACCTACCATTTTGTAAAAGAATGCAATTGTTGAGATTTTGTTGACATTTGGATGCAAACATCTGAGTAAGTCTTTATAATCTAGAACTCAAAACAAGTCAATGATAATATTTACACCACATTAATGAATTGTTGATGTGAAGGTATCTGGGTGATGCAAAGACTAGTGTTTTTGCATTTGTTTCGTGTTTTTCTCCCTTGATGTAGATTACCAGTAAAATATCTTTTGTGATAAAAGGTTTTTTGGTTTTGGTTTTGTCTTTTATTTGTTAAAATAATTTTCTGGCATTGAGATCTTACTATCTCTTGTTTTCATTGTTGTTTTCAGGGATTATGTACAGAGAGCATTTGAAAAGTGTGAAACAGAGGATGATAAAGATCAAACCGAGCAGTTTCTGAAGAATATGTTAACAACAGCATTTAAAGATGGCACTGCCTGGGTAGTTGACTGGGACAAGGAGCCCTTACCCAGGTAAGGGCTGAGGGAAACAAAAGAAAAGAGAGTGAAAATTATGTCCCTTGATGAGGTCAAACCCCCGTGGGAATAAATCTGCAAGCCTGGTTGTTCGGAAGTTGGATTGCATTATCCAGTGGATAAGTGTTAAGAAAACCATTACTTTATCCACTAGATAGTGAATTATCTGGGGATGAAAAACATCATCTACCTTTGGAACAAAAAATGGGGGCCTGGATAATAATTATTTATAGTCTAAAGCGGGGTCAATTGAGTATATGAAGAGTGTGACAATTATAACAAACTCACAGATGATTGTGGAAAATTTTAGACATCAAGGACTCGCTCATCATGTTTTGTATCCTCAGGTGGCTCATAGTAGCCTTTAACAAAATAATGCGTGTGAAAGCCCACTTCAAACAATTTTTCTGGTTTCAATGATCTTTTTCTGGGGTAAAATTCTCAGCTCTAAGCAAGGAAGTTCGTTCTTAAAATTTGCAGAACTTTTAGTTTAACGGGTTGTGGTTGTAATTTTAATTTCTTTACCCTGGTTATAGCCTGAAAAGATCCCCTCATGAGGAGAAAAAACTGCCTAGATGGCATCCCTCACGAAGACGGTCCCCACCTTCCAATAGAAGAAGAAAAGAAAGAAGCAGAAGTCTATCTCGTTCCAGGAGTCGCAGTAGGAGTAGGAGCAGAAGTAGAAGTGTTAGTCCAGAAACTAAGCCAAGATCAAAGGCATTTGATCCAAAAAGGCTTGGAAAGAAATCACCGAAACCTAAAGGAAAGGGAGTAAAAGCCCAGAAAGGAAAAAAGAAAGGGTGAGCAGTTAATGTCTATAGCTGTCACTAGACTCACTGGCAAATTCTCTACACCACAGTGCATACAAAGCTGTACTTTTATTCTAATACTTGTGATGGCTAGTAATTTTGTATAGGTAACTACCTGAATTTGAGTGCATTAAATGGTTTGTGCTGCTTATGGTAGCAAACAAAAATTAAAATGGCTTATTTTTTTTCCAAATTGGATATCACATTAATTTTGTTGTATTCTTTAACAAATAGTGAGTTACTGTATAAATATTAGTGAACTTATGCAATAGGACGCGAGAGGAAAGAGAACGGCAAACTTTGTATGACAAGCGTGACAATAATTTTGTTTGAAAAAACTTTCTGCCAATCTTCAAACAGATCTTTAAACAGATCTTTTTTGTAAAACACTTGAAAACATAAATATTAATTGAAGATCATGACAAAACATGCTAGTAATAGCCCTGTCACATTTGTGACACCCAAGCGTTTTGCTGTCCTCTTCTTTCTGCCATCCTGGGCCGGGTTGTCCAAAGCTGGGTTAAGATAACCCAGGGTTAGTGGGAAATTTGAATTCAGGTATGAAAGCTTAAAAAATAAATTCACTTAAATTCTTTTTGTCAACAAGTTGATGATCGGATTTTTTCACAATAACAGAGAAAATTAGCTGAGAAAATTGTTTTGAACAAAAGAAAAAGAAACCCGGGTGTAACTTAACCCTGGGTTAAGTGCTAATCGGCCTTCGAACAACTGGGCCCTGTTGTGTAAACTCACTAATATTTCTTTCATCATACAATCAGTCAAAACAATTGGCCCTTTAAAATGTTTCCAAATGCCACTAAGTGGGTTTCTTTTATTTCTAGACAACAAATACTATATAATGCAGCTGCTGATCCAGAAGCACAACAAAAAATCCAGAAACGCGCAGAACGGTTCAAGGCATGTTTAAATGCGCAACGTTCCACAACCCCAACTCTTCTGACCACGATCCAGTCTATGGTAGGGATTCTATTGTAATGTGCTGTGAATTCTATTGCTAGATTTGACATGTGGTAGTTGCAGCGTGCAAAGAAAGTAGTGTCCGTTAGCCCAGGGCTAGCGGATTTTGCTAACGGGCTAGTGAAATCTGTTTTTAACTTGCCCGACGGGCAAGTGATGTTCTTTGAGGAATTCGAATAACAGAAGAATTGTGAAATTTGACAAAAAGCTTTTGGGGCTAGTTGAAATGACGTCTTGGCTAGTAAATGCTAGCTTCAGCTTGCCTGAATGGCAAGCTGTAAAAATGATTTTCTATGCACTCTGAGTTGTGTTTTACTGCAAGGGCTACCAGGGTTGTCATTAAGAGCCGGGGGCCGGGGATTTTCCCTGGCTACTAAGAGAGTAGCCCCCGGCTACTTTTATCGGAAAATAGAAGAAAAATAGAACCAAAAGAAATCCCTAGCCATTTGATTCCCCGCCTACTTGTTGTATTTACCCGGCAACTTGAAATCTTAGTGACAGCCCTGGGCTACTGTCAATGTTAGAAATGGTGACTTTTTGTTAATACATGTAATTGAATTTAATTTACATTACAGTACATTTCCCCTTTTTCTGCATTGTTTTCTTGTGATTGTTGTTTCTTTTGTTTATGCTTAATTCCTCTAAATGCCATAAGTTGGCAGTCCTGTTTGCTTTGAATGGCTTACTGTGATTTAGGGCTCAGCTGCTTATTCGGTCAAAAGTCAAGTTTAAGTAGTTATATCTTTAGTAGTTTTAGGTCATACAAGGCCAAGGCCTTCACTATAGTATTGATAATAGTTTTAGAGGCTTTCTCTTCTGTCCCATTCACACCAAACCTGAAACATAATCAATTATTTATTAAATTGTAAAAGTTGTCTATCAATTCTGTCTATATAATTAATTATGTTAACATAATTAAGGTAGAAATCCTTTGTTGAGTTCATACAAGTACGAGTTGTTATTTCTTTGATTGTTTGTGTCACAGATTGTTTTTTTTTTTTTAATTTTACTTTCTGTTAAAACTATTGTTAGTAAGCATGGAGGGAGTTAGCTATATCGGAATGCTGTTATGATGCAAGAAATATTTTTTGTGCTTTTTCAAACTTAACTAACAGACATTTGAAGATGGTGAAGAAATGGATTGGAGTAAATACCATGTGGTTGGTACCTGTCAAGACCTTGAAAAGCCTTACCTCAGGCTTACTTCGGTAAGTTTGTTCTTTTATTGTGATTGTGAAATGCAGGCCAAGTTTACTGGATAAGAAATAGTTTTAGTGGTTAGTGGTTACAATGATTTTATCCCAAATGAAGTTTTTGCTTTTGTTTGTTTAATCGCAAAACTTTGTTGAACATGCTCTCTCTTTCCCAGTCCTTGGGAAGAACAACTTAATGACTTAAAATGGGGCTTGGTGGTGCTTCAGTCATCTAAACCTCTCAAAGAGTCTGTCAAAATTTGATGATTAGTGATTATTAGTTCACTAACTACTTCTACATTGAACCATTGTTGTTACCCTTTAGTATTCAGGTGGAAATAATTTAGTACTATTTTTAATTCTTATTTTGAATACTAAAAGGACAATATTGAAGTTTCTGAGGTATTTTTGCAGGCACCTGATCCATCCACTGTTCGCCCTGTGGAAGTGCTCACTAAATCTATGGAACTTATAAAAAACGACTGGAAGAATAAACAGGACTATGTTTATGCATGCGAGCAGCTCAAGTCTGTTCGTCAGGATCTTACGGTATAAGAGCTTTTCATAGTTTTTTTCTTAAATTCTACTTTGTCATTTACCAGAATGTTATTTTGAAAATTGTAGAGTTTTAGGGCACCGTATGTACTGTAAAGCCATTGTAGTTATTCCCTTTGTTTTATTCATGCTGGTTCTATTACAGCATCAAAAATACATTTTATTAGCCTGTTTACAGTAATATACATGTACATTAACTTGCCATGTTTATATAAGTGACAATATTATTTTTTTATTATTACTATCATCAGGTGCAAGGGATCAGAGACTCATTCACAGTTCAAGTCTATGAGACTCATGCTAGGATAGCCTTGGAAAAGGTATGCAGTTCACCTCAGTTTCATGAATTTATGATCATGTAAACAAGCTCACTCTTATTTTTAAGACTCGCATATTTCTTTATATTTAACTGAAGATGCATTTACTGTAGTTATTATGGGTGCTTACATGTAAGTGCAGAAGAAAGAAGTAAACTAAGCCAAAATTAAAAAAACTTGTTTGTCTTACAACTGTTTCAGATAACACGCAACTTGCATTGTCAAAGACGTTTCAGAATTTTGGGTTTTCTTCAATGTCAATCAAACCATTATCATAACATCCAATCCTTGCTTGTCGAATAGAGGCAGCAATAACGAGCAGAAGCTACAAAATTAAAATGTTTGCGGGAATGTACTGATTTGTTTTCACCCTCCCATACCTGGGTTTCTTCCGGATTTGGAAGCTCTATAGGAACAATTTCACCTTGGGAATCTAAGCTTGCCATGTTTCGGTAAGGAGGCAAAAAAACATGAGAGCTAAAATGTGAAAAGTTTATTTTCCACAACAGAACATCAAAGCACAAATCCCCACGATCGACAAGGCACAGAGCAGGAAGACCTACCATGCTTTTCAAAAACAGGTGAACTCTGAAGTTCAAAGCAACGAACGCACACAAAACGGATTGTAACCCACCTGTCCCAAATCACAAACCATGACCTTTTGAACCTGTGGAAGTAAAATTCTGTTTCCTAAAAGGTCCGCTAGAAAGCACCGAACCCTCAGATTTTGATTGACGTCGCAGAAAACCTCAAAATCCAAAGACATTTTTGACATGGCAGGTCATGTGTTATCCAAAACAGTTGTAAATTAAAATAATTGGGAAAAGTTGCTAAGTTTATTTCCGAGGGACAAAACATTTTTTTGTCATGGTTATTGGTCTAAAATGAATTTGTTGTGAAATTGTAAAGCAGTACTTTGTTTGGCATTAAATTTACTTGCCTTATCACAGATATTTTGCTACCGAGTGACCTCTCTGTGTCTCCCAGAGATTTCATGCTTTCTGTATTGAGGCAATATTTAGTTTGTAAGCTTAGAAAGGATGAGACCATGTTTACAGCATGAGTTTCAATATTGTAGGGAGATCGTGAAGAGTTCAACCAGTGTCAGACACAGCTGAAAGCCCTATATGCAGAGAAACTGCCGGGAAGCATTCTTGAATTCACTGCTTACAGACTACTCTACTATATACTGACAAGAAATAACTTGGGTATCCTTATGTTAACTGTTGCATAAATCTTTTTCTTATGTACATGTACTGTTTGGGTTATTCTGTATTTGGTTTGATGTTGTTTTTTTATGTATTCAGTGAGGCACAGGATCAAAACACCATTTGGTTACTTTGTTACTGTGGAAAAGTAATAGTTAGACCTTACCTTGTGCACCCATACCTTATCACAACTTTTTTCCTGGCATCTGGCCACGGTTGTTCAAACGTTGGATAGTGCTATCCACCAGATAAATCACTAAGCAGTAGATAAGTATTAGGGAAAACATTTGCGTTATCCAGTGGATAGATGGGGGGCGGGGGCGTGGAGCACTCAGTGGTTTAATTCTACAGTCACTATCTTTGATTTTGAAGGTAGAAATAGATGGGTAGAGTAGTAATTGCAATCAGAAGGGTTGTCGTAAGGAGAAAAGTGAAAGTGAGCGAAGAAGGAGGGTTTAAGAGTTACCCCCTTCCCTTCCCCTTCACCCCTGTTAAGTTAGGCACCACAGCCTGAAGAAATTCTACTGTTTGTGTACCCTGCAGAAACGGATGTACTGCAGGATAGTCATTACATAATGTTTCTAACTTTAAGAAGTTATTATTTTGTAGGAGGGTTTTTAAATAGCAGCCCGCAGATCAACTAAATGAGATGCTGTGCAGGGTGTAAAGAAAGCCAATTTTACAGCTTGCCTGAATAGCATAGTAGCATGTACTAGCCTAAAAGTCATTTCAACAAGCCCCCCACCCCCCCCCCCCCCCCAAAAAAAAACTGATAAACACTACATCGATTACTGTTCTTCTCTAATTAAAATTCTCCAAAAGAATTTCACTTTCCCATTGGGCAAGTTAAGAACAGAATTCACTAGCCCTATAGCAAAATCCACTTGTCCTGGGCTATTGGACACTACTTTCTTTTCACCCTGCTATGGTAACATAAGCTGGTTGATCTCACGACCCAACATTTTGATCGTATCTTTTGTGTAGTAAATTATTGTTTTGTTAATTGCACAATAGTAGAAAAATACAATGTTCCTTAACTGTAAAACAGACCTGACCACTGCTTTAGCACATTTGACAACAGAGGAGAAAGCTGACCCGGCTATAAGACATGCTTTATTAATACGTTCAGCTTGGGCTCTGTCTAATTATCACACTTTTTTCCAGCTGTATTTGAGTGCACCCAACATGTCAGGCTATCTATTAGATCTCTTTGTCCAGCGTGAGAGGGTTCAAGCACTCAAGGCCATGGTTAAATCGTGGGTTGTTTTTGTTCTCTATTTATTGGGGCATTTGATGATCTGTTCATATGCACTGTTTCATTCCGAGAAAAAAATGTTGCTTGGCTTTTGTAAAGTTCGGAAGTTAATGTTGTAAAAATGTTTATTTGTTGATCAAACATTATTTAGTATGCAGTGGTAAATGAACCGATCCCCAAAGTTATGCCCCAGGCCCCAGTTGTTCAAACGCTGTATAGTGCTATTCGCCAGGCCCCGGTTGTTCAAGCGTTGGATAGCGTTATCCACCGGACAAATCACTGTCCAGCGGATAAGTATTACGGAAATCAATTACGCCATCTGCTGGATAGTGATTTATCCTGAGGATAGCGCTATCCAACGTTTGAACAACTGGGGCTAGATAAATCACTATCCAGTGGATAAGTATTTGGGAAACCAATAATTGTGCTATCCACTGGATAGTGATTTATCAAGTGGAAAGCATTATCCACCTTTCGAATAACTGGGGGTAGGTGGTGAGGCTCACAAGGCTTTCTACAGTATAACTGAGATATTCTTCAGTATTGTCCTATTATTTTGCAGCACGTTCTGAATGCAAACAATACTATAGCGTATCTTGTTATCTTGAAAGTTTTGTCTGCTAGAGTGGTTTTCTTTTTGTGTGATTTTTAGGACTGGTGCTCGTATGCACCCGTATAAATTAATTAGTTAACGTTAGTGGACTATGTATCTGCCATCATGGTAACTGTGTTCGTAGAAAGCTGCAGAACACCATCGTTTTGAGTATTATTATTATTATTATTATTACTATTGTTATGATTATGATTATGATTATTATTTGTTTCTTGATCGTGTTTTTTGTGTTACCCCAATGTATAAGTCCGAGTATTCTCAGTTATTGGTGTTGCTGATCTCTGCATATTTTATTACTTTGTGGTTTTGGAGACATCAGAGGAGGAAGGGAGGGCGGGATAGCCAGGAAACCAATCGACAACTAGAATACATACACACTTGGCTTGTCTAATTTTATAATGTGCGGCTGTAACCCCCAACATACTGGTAATGTAGGGTTTGAAATTTAGTGCTGATCAAAAGTTCCGATAATCGGAATTCTGTTAATGATATTCTGGGGCGTGAGTTACTATAGATAGCCAAATAGTCAACATGATGGGTACGGTTTTTATGTGTCTATTGTTTTACTAACTTGTGTTGTTTTGCTTTCTTTCTTGCTTGACCCTGTGTTCCTCGTCCTGTGCTCTGACACGACTGATGTAGGTATCGCCCCTCAATAGCTGTCTCCTTCGTTGAATCTGAGTTAGGTTTCACTGAAGATGAGCAGTGTCTCAAGTTCTTACAAGATCTTGGCGTTGTCCTGACCCAAGATGGTACCAAGATCGATTGCAAGCAGTCCCAGGGGATCCTCGCGGCCAGCTGACCCGTCCCGAATCGACCCAAGCCGACTCGTCCCGACAAGTCATCAGATAGCATTTATTAGGGAAATGCAATTAAGTTTCAAGCGAATGTGTAGTAGGCTTCGTCTTCGTATTGCCCACTTCGTATTTGCTAAAAGGTTTTTTTATGGTATGGGAAAGAATAGCACTATTATAATTATAGAAATATTTAGGTTTTCTAATTTATCTGTGTAAATACTATTTGAGCTAATAACTCGCAACGTCTTTTACGCGAGTAATTATGTACTATAATCTCTTTAAATGTCCTCAAGAGTAGCAGTCGAGCCACGAAGTTTGGATATTTACGTGTAAAGAGCGGGTTCTCTGTTGCTGATGCTGCTGTTTCTGTTGTTGCTGCTGCCGCTGTTACAACGCTGTACGTTATTGCTGTCGATAGATGTCTCCTCAGTTTTGTCAGCCTTTCTCTCTTGCAGGCCTCATCCACCGACAGACAGCAAGAAAGATGTTGAAGCTCGACTCACAAGATGGCCCACCGGTCTGTATACCAAAAGTTCAACCAATAAATAGTAAATGAGTGAACTTTGTAGCCGTGATTTATTGGTAAATAAATTAGAGTTTTTATGAAACCTAACCACTTCAGTTAGTTTCGATAATTCTGTGCGTTCTTCCTTTAGCACAGTCCATGTCAATTCGCCTGAACGCCACAATAGGGCCATTTATACGAGGAAAAATAAGACGCGAACTTTCCGGATTGTACGCATGCGTTAATTTTTGGCGGGAAAATTATCGCTTGCCCCGCGGCGGACTGGAAGGCTACTGGCGGGAAAAAGTTGTTTACGTGACGCGTTTTTGTTTTCTTGTGGCTTTTCTTGTCTATTTTCCGTTATTTTTTTCTTCGCTCAATTACAATGAGCTCGCCGTTAAAGGCAAAAAGAAACACTTGGTCCATCGCGGAAAGGATTTCTTGTTATTATGTAAGGAGAAAGCGATAACAGACCTCCTGGACAAATGCTTGACATCCGCTGGTGTAAGTAGACCCTTTAAACTTTAAACTATCACAATTTATATTTACTCATCAAATTGCTATCTTCGTATTATAAACTTGCACTTAAAAAGTAAGTTCAGTTCATTTTCATGAAAACGAGTCAAGAACAGAAGTAAGACGCGAACCATTTATACGAGCTGTTTTCGTCTCAGATAAGACATGCTCGTATAAATGGTCCAGTTCGCGTCTTATGTAAGGCGCGTCTTATTTTTCCTCGTGTAAATGGCCCTATTAACGCCATTGTCCACTTTGCTTCGCGAACTTTTTTGGGGTAATTCGTTCCCGTTTTAGTAACTTGTTGCTGTAGTACACTTAACGCGGAAAAAAAATGACAGTGTTAATATTCATGTATTAAACCTTATCAGCCACTCAGTTGTGACCTAGAAGCCCATACCAGGTGTTACGTTATGTTTTTGAAGGCTATTGATATTAATGGGAACTGCGAGCATCATTTCCACTTGCTGTTGATATTGCCGAACCTTGAGGCATACGAACGTAGTATATAACCGACCGTGGTATATAACCGTAGTATATAAGACCTCGATACGATTCTAACCTCCCATTAGATCCCTTGGGAAAACCGTCCGACATCTCCTATGCTCGCTGGCAGTGGCTAGAGAGGGGCGGGATGGAGCGGCTGTGAGTTTGCTGGGTTACAGGGTAGGGGGTGGTAGGGATTCTCATACCAAGTTGGGGATAAAGACACGTTGGTCTCCCACGTAAGGTAGAAGATCAAGAAAACCTGGTTTTGATGCTGTCGGTGGGGTTAACTATGAAAAAGGGGAGTGTCAGTGAAATGCTTCATGGTTCTGTTGGCACTTGGTTGAATGGCGTGAAAACAAACTCTAGGTCGAGGGAAAGAACAAGTGTGGGAGGTGGCTTATTATACATCTACGAAATGCAGTGGGTGCAGAACGCATCCTCACTGTGCATTCTTGCCTTGTGTGTGTCATTGTCGTAAAAAACGCCATGCACGTTCCAAATCTCCGCTTTTTGGTTATTTTCATGTTATGTGCATGTCCGTTTGTTATTTTTAATGGATTGGATTTAGCGATCAACCCACACTATGGTGCAAACGTTAATAGCATCCATGCATCCTTTATTGTCCACTCCCCAAATGAACAATCATTATTTACAATATTGACCGAATTGCAATATTTAACTAATTACAACACTTAACTTTTAAAGCATACTTCTAATTACAATACTCATCTAAGAAGCATTTACAAAATCATCTATAAGCTGGTTCCTTAAAAGATCAGTACAAATAAGTATTTTAAATGAACAGGAAAAGCTTAATTCAGTTTGCCCAGCTCGGTAAGATATTCGCTTGCCGCGCATTCGAAACGTTGCCTGCTGTGGGCAAATTATGACGTCAGTTATAATTCTAGCCTGCGTAGCTGGCGGTATTGTGTAGTAGTCGAGTGAGATTTGGCGGCGGAGCCAATTCAGTTTGTTCGCCTCGTTGCTCCATTCACCTCGTTAGAAAAAGTAGTGAACTACAGTAGAAAGGTTATCTGTTAAAAACGATTCTGCTGGGTTGATTGTCTAGGCCGTTTTGAAACAAATTGTCTTCTCGTGACAAAATTTCATCGATTGTGTTCGTGGTCCACAGCGACCACAGCCGATTACTGTTTGGGCTCATGGAACGAAAAGCATCCTGGGTGTCAATGGGTTAAAGCGTGTTGAGAAAGAATCATAGACTTTCACTTTCTTAGCGCTCAAAGTTTGGCCGCCATTTTACTTGACTTTACGCGGCGGGGACTGGAACCTGCTAACTGAAACAGCGAAACAAACTTCCCGGAAAATCTAGTTCTCAGACGCTTTCAAGACAAAAATAGGTGGCTGCCCTGTGCGGGCCGCAACAATCAAGCAGCTATTTATAATTAACTGGCAACTTTGTGTAATTCAAGTCCAAACTCGTTTTAAGCCACAATCTTTTCATGTTGGTTCAAAACCTGTAGTGTAGGAAGCTTTATCTTGTAACCATCTTTAGGGGGACGGCCCAAACATCAAAAACTTCTTAAAAGAAATAACTGGGTTGAAGGGTTTAACAGGGTCTGCTTGAATCATAGCAGGCAGTCCTGAAATTTTAAGGTGGCTCCTACTTGATATAATTAATTCAATTTGTGAAAAGGTTCATCTTTATAGGCTGATATTACGGTTCTACCCTTAATTAGATGGCTATACATTCTGCACTCAGTGCCCGGGCATTGGAAACTTTGTTTTCCGGAATCCTGATAACTGCTGCCAAATAAGGTGAGTGTTCGAAGGCCTCAGCTTTACATCCTACTCGAACGTTCGTTAATTGCAGTTGTCGGGTCATACTGCAAGGGCAGCTGACAGTTGACTTGATCTTGGCCCTGAATTTCTGGTTAACTAAAGCATACACAATTGGGTTAATAGCCGAGTTGAACAAGATCAACGTGCCAGTGGCTATATATGTCATATCACTGCTGGTATAGTGAGAGGAAAAAGTGGTTAGGATGAAGCTAATCGTGTCAGCAAGCCAGCATACTCCAAAGATGACACTAACAGTGATAACCATCAAGGTGACTCGCTTTCGTACCCTCATTACGCCCTGTGGAAGAATAAGTGAAAAAGTGGTGAATTTTTAAACTGAGCACCTTTATTGTTAGCTGTATATAGGGTCTGGAAGGCTACTCTCGGGATTCGGAATTTGAGCGAAATATAAAGCGGGATTCCGGAAATTTTAATACCAAATCCAGGCTTTCGCGACCGTTTTTCGGTAAAAGGAACTGATTTGTGAAAATGGTTAACACGATTCCGGAACGAAATTTTCCAGTCCTGGATTTTGCTTACCATTCAGCCAAACCGTAAACCGACCGGTTTTTCCATGCGATGGAGTACGATGTTTTTCACAAACAAAACGTTTTACATGAGCGTCGCTCCGACAAGTCGGAAAATAAGGACCTCACGAAACTACGACGGCGACGCCAACAGGAACGCCAAAAAAGCAATTGGTTTAACGAACAAAATGACAACTCTGCACGTGCAGCAAGCTTTTTCGTACATTTCTTACCGTCCCTGCATAACTAGGACGTGAAATGACCCAATTTTAAGTTTACTTGCGAACGGAAACTGCAAGGAGATAAATTCTACCATCTCTGTCAGAACTCAGGCGCGGTCCCTTCTCTTCAGCTCTAACCAAAATTCTCTTCTTTTAAGTAACTGGGACCATTGAAATAAGCGCGAAAAATAGCGAAAGAATGCGAAGCCTATTTCTCAGCGACGTTTTCATCGAGGTCACCGTTGTCGGATCATAAGGTCCGTATTTTCGCGCTGCAACGGTCCTTCGAGTACAAACGGTACCGGCTCAAGGTGCAGAAGAATTTTTGTTCAAACCTGTTGTACAGAGATCTCTCTTCCATCATGCACTGCACGTTTGAACCACAAAGTGTACACGACACGTGAATATAACGTAATCATGAAAGAAACAGGTAAAATTGCCGTGAACAGAGACCAAATCACAGAATAAGCCTTCTCCATCCACTCTGCAGGGTGAACGTCAATGCAATCACCTTCTTTCTCGTCATAAACACCAAACATTATGGTTGGACTGTTTATAATCACTCCAAAGATCCAAGAGCAAGTTACGATCACCTAAAAAAGAAAAAACAAAAACAAAGCAGTTAAAGGAACACCGTCAGCGGATGCACATGCGCATTAGATACCATTTTTAAGTTAAGACACGCGAAGGGACATCAGTGAGTTATAAACAGAGAGTGAGAGGCCCATCTGGAATAAATTTTGCAGGTGTTTGTAACTTGTCTCCATCGATTTTCCAAATATATACAACGATGTTTTGCTTTGGAATGTTATTGATTCACGTTTCCCACCTCTTTTTTTCATGCTTCTTTGGATACTGTGTTTAACCATTTCAATGGTATGAGAAAAAGTTTGCTCAAAAAGAGGTAATCAGTAAAAGATAGAGGATCGAATGAAACACTAGGCAAGATTGAAGCGGATTTCTAGATGTATCCGACGCGTGTATTTGATTTCGGGTTGAGGTAAACGCTTTCCAAATTCACTGGGAAAAGTAGTTTCCAGGTCAGCACGGTCCCATAACTGACTGTGTCCCTTTAAGTAAGCCCTTTTGTCGTTTCCCTAAACTCTCCCGTATCCTCCCGTTACTAGGGACCTTACGAAACTACGACAGTAACAGCAATGGCAACGTCAAAAAACAATAGGTTTAGTTGGCAAAACAACAGCTCTGTAAGTTGCATCACCCTTTTTGCTCTTTTTTTTTTGCCGTCCCTGCTCGACTACGACGTGAAATAACAAACTTTTAAGTTTTCTTGAGAACAGGAACGGAGAGGTGATGAATTCTACCGTCTCGGTCTGAACTCGCGCGAGTGCGGTCCCCTCTCTTCAGCTCTAACTTAAATTCCCTTCTTTTAAGTAACTGGGCGACTTGGGATAATCGGAAAAGGGCTTGAAAGGATGCGGAGTCTTTTTTCCAGCGAGGTTTTTGTTGACGTCGCCGTCGTAGTTTCGTAGTTTAGTTTCGTCCCTGTACGTAGTGCCCGAGCTTTTTTTCGCAGACCTCGGAGGCATGCGTAACCGCCAAGAGGGAGACTACATGTAGGCATCCCGCGCTTCTTGCCTTTTTACTCTACTACTTTATCAGACGTACGACATTCGCTAAACGCACCTTCATTTTGAGATCAGTAAGCTTTCCTATGTTCTCAAGGGGATGCATCACTGCATAGTAACGTTCAGTTGCTATGGCAACCAATGTGACAACCGAAGCAACACCTCCGATGTAAGCTATGGTGCCCCCCGTCAACAATCGGCATAATATCTTGCCAGACTCTCCATCTGGGTGGCCAGAAGAGCTGAGAAAAATAAACTGAGGTAGAAAGAACGTGGCAGTGGTCATGTCGGCAACAGCTAAGTTCATGAGAAGGAAGTTAATTGAGGTTCTGGGGAAAATAAGTGAAATAAATGCGATCAGCAGGAGAAAGATAAAGACATTATTCGTGAAAGATATTTGTCGACTCGGTCACAAAAGCTCTTTTTTTCTCTCTCCGTGTGGTACCCGTTGATCTGCCGATATGTGTCGCTGAAACAGCTTTAAACAGGGTACAACCCTGTTCCCAGCGCAGTCTACATTTACCGTAACAACGGTACCAACGCTTTTTAAAAGTCTAATTCTACCATGTTAATTTAAAAAATACTTGATTCGGTAAGCGAAATGAAATGAATAAGGGTCATAAAAAATAGACTCTTGGTCTCAGGGCAGCAGAATCAGAATGGTTTTTGCCAGTTTCAATCGAAGGCCTCAGCGGCACACCCTACCAAACTGAACCCGTCTCCATCTCTCACCGATAAGTTAAAGTTCCAAGTCAGTGGTCACAATAGTTTTACGAAGAAAGCTGTTTTCAAGTCTCAAGGAACACATACCTCATATCTTGGTTCTTTATTATAACTGCGCACACCAACGAGTTCCCGCCGATGTTCAAGATGATCAAAAAGCACTGCATCGTTGTTATGGCGATCTGTGATGCTTTAGAACCCGTGAAAACATACATAGCTTTCGAAGTTAGGTCGATTCCCACTTAATAGTTTTGTCTCATCTGGTGAGGAAAGGTTCAGCCTGTTACAATTTGTTCAAATGATTCTTTTCGATTAAAAGGTCCTCGGCCTCGACAATCCCATACCTTCTGGACAGCGTTGAATCTTCCGGATTTTTTTAAGTGAAGACGAAAAGGAACTGGTAGCCTGCTTCGACTCTTCCCTTGGTGACAAACCTTTTTTGCTACTGTCTGTTAAAGCGAAAAAGCCGCGGCTCACCTTTGTAACAGCTAGATGAAAGTTTTAATTTGCGTTATTTTCTTTAAAATAATCATCAAATGTTTTCTTGTACAAAAGCCCCTGCGGATTTGTTTATTTTGTTTCAACAGGGAATCTTAAATTGTCATCTTTCATGTTGTTAGTGGCGTCTGTTCTCCTTACTAGTTTCATGCCAAATAGAGTCAGCATCCCATGAAGTGAAGGAAACTATAATTTAGCCACATTTCTTTGAAATTTAAGAAAGATTTTTATAGCATTTTACTTTTAAACACAACAAAGACTAATATGTCAGTAACTTCCTCGCTTATTCATCTTTAATTTTCCAATCTTTGTCCCGGGGGGTACTCAACAAAGTTTTATACGGGGAGTGTGGGCCCTGAGGTCCAACCCCTTACCCTTTTAGTACCATTTTTGACAGATAATGTACCCCTTTCGTATACCACCCATTGACAAATGGTACCCCCTTCACGTACCGACGTAGTTTAGATTGCTGCATTCCTTACAACTGCTGTAAATGCAATGTCGTTTGATTATGGATAAATCATCAAACCAGGAAATTTTCTCGACTTTTTCACAGCCATAAAATCCTTCTGTTGTTCCTTTTAGTTCCTCAGTCAACCTGTCATTTTGGTCTGCAAAGTATACTTACCAAAATGACAGATTTTCCTACCCGTTCATACATGAAAAGGTAGGAACCTGTTTGGATCCCGTGTAAGCCATCTTACGTACTACCTCCCTTCCCAACCCGGGGCCCTTGTTGACGAATATACGAAGCGAGAGAGAAGTGACGTACAGATTAGTAGCCTACTTGTAGCCGGAGCTAGAAGATATGACACGTCAATTAACTAAAGTAGTTTAGTTCAGTTCAAGTAGATTCATAAGCAGCCCAGCAGATTATCAAACCGATTCCAGTTTATCCAAATTACAGAATTGGCCGGCGCAGATGCACTGGAGCCATGCACCTGTTTTCGATCGTCAAACACCCCCTGTCACCCTTTTTCGCGAAAAACCGCAGGAGAGTCGCCAACACCAGATGACATGCCGCTAATTTTTAAAAATACTCTTCTTATTCAAGATTAAACAGCTTAAAACTTCTCGTCTAATAATATTGATTAAACAGAAAAAGCATGCAAACATGTCATTGCGCCCATTACACTAGGTTCAACACAAATTTGACGCAGTCTTTCACACTTTTTTCTGTGAAAACACAGACATTAATTAAAAGTGGAAAATCTATCTTTCAGGTTAGTAGTTATGCTTAAGCAAAATTAAGCCCCGTTGGTGGATTCCCTTTGGATTCCCTCGCAAAAAGTGGATTCCCTTTATTAATACGTATAACTGTCTTCCTGCATACTAATTCGGTATAAGTTTACTAATGAGCGAATACTACAATAGGCACAATAGGCTTGCCTCGGTTTGCTCGTGAAGTAACTTGAGCCCGGTTTTCAGACCTAGCAACTCGAGAAACGGCTTTCTATATCTTATTTAGCGCTAAAACTCATATATATAAACAAAACACAAACAGAAAGTTGAGTTGAAAAGTCTTTATTTCAGTTTAGTTTACGTCTCCTTATTTAGCGCTAAAACTCGGAAATATATACAAAACACACGCACATATACACGAAGTGGAGCTGAAAACTCTCCATTTCAATTTTGTCTTACTATTACAAAACCGTTTTCTCCTTTCTGTCTCGAGGAAATGAAAAACTATTACAGTCTCAGCGTTTCACGCGCCGTTAGTCAGGTAATTATGCGAGTTCATACAAATTAGCTCTGCATTAAAAAACCCAAGGGAGCATCTTGACGTATTATTATAAAAACACACAAAAACAAACCAATTAATAACTTAACAAAGATCAATTGAAACACGCGACTAATAATCGCTCGCGATAAAACCAGACACGTTTATTAAGACACAAGAAATTTAATAATTGCAAAAAGTGTAAAATACTCAGTGATTAAGACGGAATCTATTAAAATAGTCAAAGAAAGGGAGCTATCTTTTTTTTAAACTACGTTTCCCTCCTCATTTTTTTTCTTTTTTTTTTATTCCCTTCTCCACAATTTTATTATCTTCCCTCCTCCTCCACATTTCTATTGTTTTCCCTCCACCACCACCACCAAGAAAGGACCACCACTACGTTTCCCTCCTCATTTCTTTTTTTTTTTTTTTATCCACTCCACAACCACCACCACCGCCACCTCTACATTTCTATTGTTTTCCCTCCGCCACCACCACCTCCTCCTCCTCTTCCTCCTTCTCATTTTTATTTTTTTCCCTCCTCCTCCTCTTCCTCCTCATTTCTGTTGTTTTCCCTCGAAAAGGCCAAAGAGGCCAAAATCAGGCCTAAAAGGCCAAACTCAAATGTGATGGCCTGATTTTGGCCTCTTTGACTCTGAAGATGACTACCGCACAGGTTGTCGAAACGTCGGTCATTGTCAACAACAACAGTCCTATTCAGGACTACGTTCACTCGGACGATCAAACTCAACCTACTTTTGCTCTTAGTATTAATGGGAACTGCGGGCATCATTTCCACTTGCTGTCGAGGCATATGAACGTAGGATATAAGCGACCTCGATAAGATTCTAACCTCCCATTAGATCCCTTGGGAAAATCGTCCAGCATCGCCTGTGCTCGCTGGCAAATGTGATGGCCTGATTTTGGCCTCTTTGACTCTGAAGATGACTACCGCACAGGTTGTCGAAACGTCGGTCATTGTCAACAACAACAGTCCTATTCAGGACTACGTTCACCCGGACGATCAAACTCAACCTACTTTTGCTCTTGGTATTAATGGGAACTTCGGGCATCATTTCCACTTGCTGTTGAGGCATATGAACGTAGGATATAACCGACATCGATAAGATTCTAACCTCCCATTAGATCCCTTGGGAAAATCGTCCAGCATCACCTGTGCTCGCTGGCAGTGGCTGGAGAGGGGCGGGACGGGGCGGCTGTGAGTTTGCTGGGTTACAGGGTAGGAGGTGGTAGGGATTCTCATACCAAGTTGGGGATAAAGACACGTTGGTCTGCCACTGTGGGCAGAAGATCAAGAAAACTTGGTTTTGATGCTGACGGGGGGTTAACTATGAAAAAAAGGGGAGTGTCAGTGTAATGCTTCATGGTTCTGTTGGCACTTGGTTGAATGGCGTGAAAACAAACGCTAGGTCAAGGGAAAGAACAAGTGTGGAAGGTGGCTTAATATACATCTACGTAATGCAGTGGGTGCAAAACGCATCCTCACTGTGTGCCTTGTGTGTGTCATTGTCGTAAAAAACGCCATGCACGTTCCAAAACGTTCGGTTTTACTTACATAAAGCTCCGCTTTTTGGTTATTTTCATGTTATGAGCATATCCGTTTGTTATTTTTAATGGATTTAGCGCATCAACCAACACTATGGTGCAAACGTTAATAGCATCCATGCATCCTTTATTGTCTACTTCCCAAATGAACAATCATTATTTACAATTATTACCGAATTGCAATATTTAACTAATTACAACACTTAACTTTTAAAGCATACTTCTAATTACAATACTCATCTTAGAAGCATTTACAAAATCATCTGTAAGCTGGTTCCTTAAAAGATCAGTACAAATAAGTATTTTAAATGAACAGGAAAAGCTTAATTCAGTTTGCCCAGCTCGGTAAGCAATTCGCTTGCCGTTCATTCGAAACGTTGCCTGCCGTGGGCAAACTATGACGTCAATTATAATTCAGTTTGTTCGCCTCGTTGCTTCATTCACCTCGTTAGAAAAAGTAGTGAACTACAGGAAGATTATCTGTTAAAAACAATTCTGCTGAGTTGATATTCTAGGCCGATTTGAAACAAATTGTCTCCCCGTGACAAAATTTCATCGACTGTGTTCGTGATCCACAGCCGATTACTGTTTTTATGCTCATGGAACGAAAAGCGTCCTGGGTGTCAATGGGTTAAAGCGTGTTGAGAAAGAATCGTAGACTTTCACATTCTTAGCGCTCACAAAATTCTCGGATGAAAGTTTAGCCGCCATTTTACTTTACTTTACGCCAGGGGCACCCAACGAAAATATAGTTCAAAACCACTTAAACATAGCATTGTTAAGCGTATTTTAGCATTTAAACGGTAGATATAGGCATATTTTTATCCCCTAAAAATTTTTCATCTGTTCGGATTTCCTAGCTGAAAGTTTAGTGATCCGAAAATTATAGGGATCAAAACTACCTTTTCACTGTGCGGGCAGCAACAATCAAGCAACTATTTATCATTACCTGGCAAAGACCAAATTTTAACTGACATTTACCCTCCTCCCCCTCTCCAACTTCGTGCACCCTTGTGTGTCCAAACTCTTTTTAAGCCACAATCTTTTCATGTTGGTGCAAAACCTGTAGTATAGGAACTTTATCTTGTAACCATCTTTAGGAGGACGGACCAAACATCACAAACTTTTTAAAATAAATAACTAGGTTGAAGGGTTTAACAGGGTCTGCTTGAATCATAGCAGGCAGTCCTGAAATTTTAAGGTGGCTCCTACTTGATATAATTAATTCAATTTGTGAAAAGGTTCGTCTTCTTTATAGGCTGATATTACGGTTCTACCCTTAATTAGATGGCTTTACATTCTGCACTCAGTGCGTGGGCATTGCAAATTTTATTTTCCGGAATCCTGATAACTGCTGCCAAATAAGGTGAGTGTTCGAAGGCCTCAGCTTTACATCCTACTCGAACGTTCGTTAATTGCAGTTGTCGGGTCACACTGCAAGGGCAGCTGACAGTTGACTTGATCTTGGCCCTGAATTTCTGGTTAACTAAAGCATATACAATTGGGTTAATAGCCGAGTTGAACAAGATCAACGTGCCAGTGGCTATATATGACATATCACTGCTGGTATGGTGAGAAGAAAAAGAGGTTAGGATGAAGCTAATCGTGTCAGCAAGCCAGCATACTCCAAAGATGACACTAACAGTGATAACCATCAAGGTGACTCGCTTTCGTACCCTCAGCACGCCCTGTGGAAGAATATGTGAAAGAGTGGTGAATTTAAGCACCTGTATTGTTACCTGTATACAGGGTCTGGAAAGGTACTCTCGGGATCGGGAATTTGAGCGAAATATATTGCGGGATTCGGGAAAACGCAAAATTTCTGATGTTGACGGGATTTGGACGCCACTCTTAATGCGGGATTTACCAAAATCTTGGAGATCATGACAGCAGTTTGGGATGCCCAATTGTCGTGAAAAAGAACCGGGAAGTGGGGATTAATACCCCCCTTTCTGACCCTGTACATATACGAGGCTGTCAACCCCAATAAAAGCGCTTCATAAATAGAGCGGACCTGCTTACACCTAACACATCCTTAGTTTAGGGTCGTTTAGCGCACATGATCAAGGCTAGTGAAAATTACAAGAGCGCCACTCCGACAAGTGGGAAAATTTTCTCGCTGCAAGGGTCCTTCGAGTAAAAACGGCACCGGTTTAAGGTGCAGAAGAATTTTTGTTCAAACCTGTTGTACAGAGATCTCTCTTCCATCATGCATTGCACGTTTTAGCCACAAAGTGTACGCGACACGTGAATATAACGTAATCATGAAAGAAACAGGTAAAATTGCCGTGAACAGAGACCAAATCACAGAATAGGCCTTCTCCATCCACTCTTCAGGGTGAACGTCGAGGCATTCACCTTCTTTCTTGTCATAATCACCAAACATTAAGGTTGGAATGTTTAAAATCACTCCAACGATCCAAGAGCAAGTTACGATCACCTAAAAGAGAAAAACAAAAACAAAAACAAGAAAACAAAAAACAAAACAGTTAAAGGGACACAGTCAGCTGATGCACATGCGCATTAGATACCATATTTTAGTAAGACACGCGAAGGGACACGCGTGAATTATTAGCAGAAAGCGAGAAGCCCATCCGGAATATCTAAATAAACTTTAGGGAGTTGAAATAATTACAAGTCAAAGTCGTGATTATAGATCATATGTGCTCATATCACAGCATTCATAGACCATTGAGAATTCACCGATGAACTTGTTCAGGGAAAGCCAAACATCCACGAACACTTCCGAATTCGAAGAATTAGAAGATCGAAGTAGAACAGGGTGAGAAATGACACGAAGTCTGAATCAGTCGTCGAAGATTCAAGGTCAAGAAAGAGCGATTTTGCAAATATTTGTAACTTGTCTCCATCGATTTTCGGAGTCTTTTTTGCAGCGAGGTTTTCATTGACGTCGCCGTCGTAGTTTCGTAAGGTCCCTGTACGTAGTTCCGTACGTAGACGTACGACATTCCCTAAACGCACCTTCATTTTGCGATCAGTAAGCTTTCCTATGTTCTCATAGGGATGCACCACTGCATAGTAACGTTCAGTTGCTATGGCAACCAACGTGACAACCGAAGCAACAGCTCCGATATAAGCCAAGGCTGCCCCCGTCACTAATCGGCAATCGGCCAGACTAATCTGGGTTGCCAGTCTCATCATCATGGGCAACAGCTAAGTTCATGGGAGAGGAGTTCTGAGGAAAAAGTGAAATTTTATTTATTATATACACACGTACTGAAAATAACGTGGGACCCGCGGTTTAATTTCATGTCGGCAACATGACTAAGTTTTCATTATTTTATCGATGGATTTTGTCTATATAATAAAAAAAGTTAATTGAAGTTCTTTTTTGGAGAAATAACTCACTCGAAAATAAATTTATTTATTTCGCGCCACAGATTTTTATTACAGATTTATTACAGATTCACTCCACTATATTACAAGCAAATAATGAAATGAAATAAGCTAACACTACTATAAGAAAAACAAAAAGTTGTGGAGAAGGAGACAACCAAAAGCGCCAACGCGCCATACTAGGGATGTCCCCACTAATTAAAATATAAGAAAAATATATACAAATAGAAATATAAATGTTCTAGTAAGTTATTCTTAGTAAAGCTTAAAACATTTCTTTTTAAAAGTTGCGATACTTTTTGATTCTCTAATATGACTGGGTAAACCATTCCATTCATCTATAACACGGTTAAAAAAACTATATTTAAAACCATCAGTTCTACTAAAATTTGGAACAAGGTCCTGTGTGTCACTTTTCCTCAAGTTATAACCTGTATTTCTGTCCTTACAAAATATTAGCTATTAAATATTGAAATGTCAATATCATAATGTCCATTAATTAGATTAAAAATGTAACATCTATCGTGAACCTCCCATTAGATAATGACAACAATTTTAGCTTAGATAGTCTAGTATCATAATCATCATCAGACCTAGTGATCCATCTGGTAGCTCTTCGCTGAACAGCCTCCAATTTATCAAGGTTACATTTAGTATGAGGGTTCCAAGTTTCGCATGAATATTCTAATAAAGGTCTCACAAGACTACAATAAAGTCTGTTCATGGTATCAATATCCTTTAAGTATCGGCAGGAGAAAGATAAAGACATTATTGGTGAAAGATATTTCTCGACTCGGACACAAATGTTCTTTTTTTTTTCTCTCTGTGTGGTACCCGTTGATCTGCCGATATGTATCGCTGAAACAGCTTTAAACGACAGTTTAAACAGGCTACAACCCTGTTCCCAGGGGTCTCTCCTACTCGTCGTAGGAGAGAACCCTGGGAACAAGGTTGAACAGGGTATATACTTTTACTATTGACAGGATGTCTTTGAGAACGAAGGCCCTTGAACAGTGCAGGGTCGACTTTAGCAGACGGCGCAGTCTACATTAACCGTACCAACGTGGTACCAACGCTTTTTAATAATCCAATTCTACCATGTTAATTTAAAAAATAATTAATTCGGTGAGCGAAATGAAACGAATAAGGGTCATAAATAATAGTCGCTGCGTCTCAGCACCGTAATTTTTAGGGAGTTATTATAACTCCAAAAATGGAGTAAAAATTTTAGGTACAGGATAACCCCTTTTTTGGGGTTATTTTAACTCCTAATTTAACTCCGAATTCGGGGTCATTTTTACTCCTGAAAAAGAGTTCTTTTTACTCCCAGTCTGGAGTTAAAATCACTCCGAAATGGGGTTACTTGTACTCCTTACATGGGTTGTTTTTACTCTTTTTGGAATTAATTTAACTCTGAAAGTGGAGTAAAAATTTTAGGTACAGGATAACTCCTTTTTTGGGGTTATTTTAACTCCTCAATATCTGGGGTGACTTTTACTCCTGAAAAAGAGTTTTTAAACTCCTTTTTGGAGTTAAAATTACTCCACGAAAAATAACTCCACTGTAAGGAGTTAAATTAGCCCCACTAGAGGAGTTATTATAACTCCCTGAAAATTACAGTGAGGGTAGCAAAATCAGAATGGTTTTTGCCAGTTTCAGTTGAACGCCCCAGCGGCACCCCCCTACCAAGTCAGTGGTCACAGTGGTTTGACGAAGAAAGCTGTTTGCAGGTCTCAAGGCACACATACCTCATGTCTTGGTTCTTTACTATAACTGCGCACACCAGCGAGTTCCCGCCGATGTTCAAGATGACCAAAATGGACTGCAACGTTGTTATGATGATCTGTGATGCTTTAGAACCCGTGAAAACATACATAGCTTTCGAAGTTAGGTCGATTCCCATTTAACAGTTTTGTTAAGTTCAAATGATTCTTTTCGATCGAAAGGTCCCCAGCCTTGACAATCCCATACCTTCTGGACAGCGTTGAATCTTCCGGACTTTTTTTAACTGAAGACAGAAAGGAACTGGTAGCCTGCTTCGACTCTTCCCTTGGTGACAAACTTTTTTTGCTACTGTCTGTTAAAGCGAAAAAACCGCTGCTCACCCAGTAACAGCTAGATGAAAGTTTTATTTTGCGTTATTTTCTTTAAAATAATTATCAAATGTTTTCTTTAAAAAATCCCCTGCGGATTTGTTTATTTTGTTTCAACAGGGAATCTTAAATTGCTATCTTTAATGTTGTTGGCGTCTGTTTTCCTTACTGGTTTCATGCCAAATAGAGTCAGAATCCCATGAAGTGAAAGAAATTGTAATATAGCCACATTTCTTTGAAATTTAAGTAAGATTTTTATGGCATCTTACTTTTAAACGCAACAAAGACTAATATGTCAGTAACTTCCTCACTTATTTATCTTTAATTTTCCAATCTTTGTCCCGGGGGGTACTCAACACAGTTTTATACGGGGAGTGTCGGCCCTGAGGTCCAACCCCTTACCCTTTTAGTAACATTTTTGACAGATAATGAACCCCTTTCATATACCACCCATTGACAAATGGTACCCCCTTCACGTACCTACGTAGTTTAGATTGCTGCATTTCTTACAACTGCTGTAAATGCAATGTCTTTTGATTAGGGATAAGTCATCAAACCAGGAAATTTCTCAACTTTTTCACAGCCATAAAATCCTTCTGTTGGTCCTTTTAGTTCCTCAGTCAATCTGTCATTTTGGTCTGCAAAGTATGCTTACCAAAATGACAGATTTTCCTACCCTTTCATATATGAAAGGGTAGGAACCCGTTTCGAGACTCTTGTTGACGAATATACAAAGCGACAGAGAAGTGACGTACCTAAACAGATAAACCACAGATTTGGGAAAGGATATCTGAAGGATATCCTTGTTATATATTACCGTGGATTGTCTTGCCGGCTGCCTTAGTAAGAATACCTTAATGAAGGTGTCCCCGATTAGTAGCCTACGTGTAGCCAGCTAGAAGATATCACACGTCAATTAACTGAAGTAGTTTAGTTCAGTTCAAGTAGATTCATAAGCAGCCCAGCAGATTATCAAACCGATTCCAGTTGACCCAAATTACAAAATTGGCCGGCGCAGATGCACTGGAGGCGTGCACCTGTTTTCGATCGTCAAACACCCCCTGTCACCTTTTTTTCGCGAAAAACCGCAGGAGAGTCGCCAACACCAGTGGCATGCCGCTAATTTTTAAAAATTCTATTTTTATTCAAGCTTAAACAGCCAAAGACTTCTCGTCTAATAATATTGATTAAACAAAAACAGCATGTAAACATGTCATTGCGCCCATTATATTGGGTTCAAGACAAATTTGACGCACTCTTTCACACTTTTTTCTGTGAAAACACAGACATTAATTAAAAGTGGAAAATCAATCATGCAGGTTCGGTTTAATTACGAGTGAGCAGTTACCTTTGCAGCCATATTTAACAATTATATTGAATTTGGTATGATGTGAATAACTACGCAGATCGAAGAGAATGTTATCCACTGACCCCGTCCTCGAAGACTTTTTATTGGCACAGTTTCAGGATATAAACAGGTTCTTTTTTTCCTGTAGATACATGTACTCCTCATAAAGTAGATAACATCTATCGAACAACATGTTTAGCGTTTTCTTCCATTATCCGTTATCTTCCGTTATCAGTTTTAGTCAGAAATTCAGCTATTTCGCTCTTTCTTAGTTCTCGCGTGTAAATAAACAGCTAGGCGGCTGCGTCTGGAAACGAGGTTGACCGATGTATGTTGTCTAAGCAGCCTCGTTTCCAGTCAAATATACAATGAAATCAATGTTTGCATCTTCCAAATTTGGTCAACGCAAGCTGGTTATGAAGAATTAGCCGGGGGATTTGAGCCAGTCAGAAAGGTAGGTGCTCAGCCTTTGATATGGAAATCATTTTTCATTGTCATGCAAATAAAACTCATTTTCACAAGAAAGGTTGTGTACCTAGCCTCATTTTGAAAGTGAGGGTTTTTGGAACTCGGAAGTGGCCTATTGCACAAGGATGTTGCCTCCTGACCTGCATAACGAGCTCTGAGTTTATCACGAACACTACGCTAGTGTGTCATTTAAATGATCGGCTTTTTTCAGCAGTTGCAACGGGGACGGGACACGCGACGCCTTCTGGGTCACCTGTACGTCATTTTGTCTTTTTTCGACTAAGGCAAAACGTAATTTTTGATTGAGCTTTGCCACAAGCGTCGCAGGCAGCCGTTTGAAGATTTGGATATTCACCCAGATTCCTCAAGCGCTCTTTAGAAGATATTTTCAAAACATCATAACTCTCTTATTACGTTTGGTTTAAATATTGCGCCCTTAATGAAAAGAATACAGCTTATGATAAGAAAAGAACAATTCTGCGTACAATAAAATTCGATGCACGTTGAGAACTGTTTATTATTTAACAAAACTGGGTAAGATACTTAATTAAAACCTTAACTTATCACATGGAGTGTAAGACGTAGGGCCGGTTACCCGCAATTTTCCAGTACAGTTACATGCAGTTACACTGTCAATAATACCTGGTAAATGCCAATTGTCTTTAAGCTTATATTACGATCTGGTAAATATCCATTGTTTTGACAGACTATTAATACTGTCGAGTGACTGTCCTCTGGCTTAAAAATTATATTCATGCTGTCGGGTGAATACCCACTGTCCTTGCAATATTAAAACTGCAGGGCAGAATGCATGCCCACTGTCTTTACAATATTAATACTGTCGGTTGAATGCCCTTTGTCTTAACGATATCGGTACTGTTGGGTGAATGCCCCCTGACTGTCGAGTGAATGTCCACTGTCTTTACAATATTAATACTTGTTGGGTGTAAATGCCCACCGCCGTCCTTACAGCATCAACACTGCCAAATGAATGCCTACTGTCTTTAAAATGTTAATGCCACTGCCGGGTGAATGCCCACTGTCGTGACAATATCAATTCTGCCAGGTGAATGCCCAATGTCTTAAAATATTGATACTGCCGGGTGAATCATGCCCATTGTCTTTACAATATTAATACCCCCGGGTGAATGCTCATTGTCTTAACAATATTGATGCTACCAGGTAAATGCCACTGTCGCAAGAACATTGCAACTGTCGGTTGAATCATGCCCACAGTCTTTACAATATCAATACTACTGGGTGAATCAGCCACTGTCTTAACAACATTAATACTGGCTGGTAAATGCCCTTTGTGTTGTCGGGTGAATGCCCTGTCTTAACAATATCGATACTGTTGGGTGAATGCCCTCTGTCTTAGCAATAATGCCCAATAGAAAGGTTGTCTGTTAAAAATGATTCCGCTGAGTTGATTGTCTAGGCTGTTTTGAAAAAAATTGTCTTCTCGTGACATAATGTCATCGATTGTGTTCGCGGTCCACGGCGATAAACAGCCGATTACTGTTTGGGCTCATGGAACGAAAAGCATCCTGGGTGTCAATGGGTTAAAGCGTGTTGAGAAAGAATCATAGACTTTCACTTTCTTAGCGCTCAAAGTTTGGCCGCCATTTTACTTGACTTTAGGCGGCGGGGACTGGAACCTGCTAACTGAAACAGCGAAACAAACTTCCCCGGCAAATCGAGTTGTCAGACGCTTTCAAGACAAAAATAAGTGGCTGCCCTGTACGGGCAGCAACAGTCAAGCAGCTATTTGTAATTAACTTTCAAAGACCAAATTTTTACTGACATTTACCCCCTCCGCCTCTCCAACTACGTGCACCTTTGTGTAATTCAAGTCCAAACTCTTTTTAAGCCACAATCTTTTCATGTTGGTTCAAAACCTGTAGTGTAGGAAGCTTTATCTTGTAACCATCTTTAGGAGGACGGACCAAACATCAAAAACTTTTTAAAAGAAATAACTAGGTTGAAGGGTTTAACAAGGGTCTGCTTGAATCATAGCAGGCAGTCCTGAAATTTTAAGGTGGCTCCTACTTGATATAATTAATTCAATTTGTGAAAAGGTTCATCTTCTTTATAGGCTGATATAACGGTTCTACCCTTAATTAGATGGCTATACATTCTGCACTCAGTGCCCGAGCATTGGAAATTTTGTTTTCCGGAATTCTGATAACTGCTGCCAAATAAGGTGAGTGTTCGAAGGCCTCAGCATTACATCCTACTCGAACGTCCGTTAATTGCAGTTTTCGGGTCACACTGCAAGGGCAGCTGACAGTTGACTTGATCTTGGCCCTGAATTTCTGATTAACTAAAGCATATACAATTGGGTTAATAGCCGAGTTGAACAAGATCAATGTGCTAGTGGCTATATATGACATATCACTGCTGGCATAGTGAGAGGAAAAGGAGGTTAGGATCCAGCTAATAGCGTCAGCAAGCCAGCATACTCCAAAGATGACACTAACAGTGATAGCCATCAAGGTGACTCGCTTTCGTACCCTCAGCACGCCCTGTGGAAGAATAGGTAAAAGAGTGGTGAATTCAAGCAGCTGTATTGTTCGCTGTATACAGGGTCTGGAAGGGTACCCTCGGGATCCCGAATTTGAGCGAAACATAATGCGGGATTCGGGAAAACGCAAAATTTATGTTGTTGACGGGATTTGGACGCCTCCCTGGAAGCGGGATTCACCAAAATTAGGCTTTTCCGGAGAGATTTTCTACAGGTGGACTCATCCCGGTGTCCCTGCAACCGCGCGGTCAGGTCATTTGGCCTCACGGGACGGCTTATGACTTTTACACGACCGGGTAAGGATAGGATCGACAAAACCAAAAAATTGAGGTTGTTAACCAAAAAATCCGGTTGGAAAGTAAGCGCAACACGCCTTTTTGAGTTGCAGCGGAAAAATTACGGGAACAACGGCCATCTGTGAAAGTAGTCCTGTTTTTCCGGATGGAATATTCCAAGCAGTAATTTGAGTACCATTCTTTGAAACCCATCTTTGATACCAGTTCCAGGCTTTCGCGACCGTTTTTCGGTAAAAGAAATGGTTAACACGATTCCGGAACGAAATTTACCAGTCCTGGACTTTGCGTACCATTCACCCAAACCGTGAGCCGACCGGTTTTCCCATGCGATGGTGTACGATGTTTTTCACAAACAAAACGTTTTAAATGAGCGCCGCTCCGACAAGTCGGACCTTACGAAACTACGACGGCGACGGCAACAGGAACGTCAAAAAAACAATAGGTTTAATGAGCAAAATAGCAACTCTGCACATTCATCACGCTTTTTTGTACATTTCTTTGCCGTTCCTCCATAACTAGGACGTGAAATGACCAAATTTTAAGTTTACTTGGGAACGGGAACGGCAAGGCGATAAATTCTACCATCTCTGTCAGAACTCGGGCGCAGTCCCTTCTCTTCAGCTCAAACCAAAATTCTCCTCTTTTAAGTAACTGGGCCCCTTGAAATAATCGCGAAAAAAGCGAAAGGATGCGAAGTCTATTTTCAGTGACGTTTTCATGGAGGTCACCGTTGTCGGATCGTAAGGTCCCTATTTTCGCGTTGCAACGGTCCTTCGAGTAAAAACGGTCGGCTCCAGGTGCAGAAGAACTTTTGTTCAAACCTGTTGTAGAGAGATCTCTCTTCCATCATGCACTGCACGTTTGAACCACAAAGTGTACGCGACACGTGAATATAACGTAATCATGAAAGAAACAGGTAAAATTGCCGTGAACAGAGACCAAATCACAGAATAGGCCTTCTCCATCCACTCTTCAGGGTGAACGTCAATGCAATCACCTTCTTTCTCGTCATAAACACCAAACATTAAGGTTGGACTGTTTATAATCACTCCAAAGATCCAAGAGCAAGTTACGATCATCTAAAAAAGAAAAAACAAAAACAGTTAAAGGGACACAGTCAGCTGATGCAATGCGCATTAGATACCATTTTTTAGCTAAGACTCGCGAAGGGACATCCGTGAGTTATAAACAGAAAGTGAGAAGCCCATCCGGAATATCTAAATAAACTGTATGGAGTTGAAATAATTACAAGTCAAAATCGTGATTATAGATCACACCTGCTCATATTAGAGCACTCATATAGCATTGAGAATTCACCGATGGACTTGTTCAGGGAAAGACAAACATAAACTTTACCCGCCGACAAATGAAGAAAGTATAATACAAAAACAACTCAGAAAAACATCTTGCTAACTTACCTCAACCCGAGGTAAAGCCATTTATTATAAAGCCAAACATCCACGAATACTTCCGAATTTGAAGAATCAGTAGATCGAAGTAGAACCGGGTGAGAAATGACACGAAGTCTGAATCAGTCGTCGAAGATTCAAGGTCGAGAAAGCTCGATTTTGCAAATATTTGTAACTTGTCTCCATCGATTTTCCAAATATATACAACGATGTTTTGCTCTGGAATGTTATTGATTCATTTCTCTTATTATTTTGGTAAACGAAGGCGATTTCTCCCGCTTGGGGCCTACACGTTTCCCACCTCTTTTTTTTATGCTTCTTTGGATACTGTGTTTAACCATTTCAATGGTATGAGAAAAAGTTTGCTCAAAAAGAGGTAATCAGTAAAAGATAGAGGATCGAATGATACACTAGGCAAGATTGAAGCGGATTTCTAGATGTATCCGACGCGTACATTTGATTTCGGGTTGAGGTAAACGCTTTCCAAATTCACTGGGAAAACTAGTTTCCAGGTCAGCACGGTCCCATAACTGACTGTGTCCCTTTAAGTAAGCCCTTTTGTCGTTTCCCTAAACTCTCCCGTATCCTCCCGTTACTAGGGACCTTACGAAACTACGACGGTAACAGCAATGGCAACGTCAAAATTACAATAGGTTTAGTTAGCAAAACAACAGCTCTGTAAATGCATCACCCTTTTTCTTCTTTTCTTTGCCGTCCCTGCTCGACTACGACGTGAAATAACAAAATTTGAAGTTTTCTAGAGAACAGGAACGGCAAAGTGATGAATTCTACCATCTCTTTCTGAACTTAAGTGCGGTCCCCTCTCTTCAGCTCCAACTTAAATTCCCTTCTTTTAAGTAACTGGGGGACTTAAGATAATCGCGAAATGGCTTGAAAGGATGTGGAGTCTTTTTTTCAGCGAGGTTTTCATTGACGTCGCCGTCGTAGTTTCGTAGTTTAGTTTCGTCCCATGTACGTAGTGCCCGTGCTTTTTTTCGCAGACCGGCATCCCGCGCTTCTTGCCCTTTTACGCTGCTATCAGACGTACGACATTCGCTAAACGCACCTTCATTTTGCGATCAGTAAGCTTTCCTATGTTCTCAAGGGGATGCATCACTGCATAGTAACGTTCAGTTGCTATGGCAACCAATGTGACAACCGAAGCAACACCTCCGATGTAAGCTATGGTGCCCCCCGTCACCAATCGGCATAATATCTTGCCAGAATCTCCATCTGGGTGTGCAGAAGAGCTGAGAAAAATAAACTGCGGTAGAAAGAACGTGGCACCGGTCATGTCGGCAACAGCTAAGTTCATGAGAAGGAAGTTAATTGAGGTTCTGGGGAAAATAAGTGAAATAAATGCGATCAGCAGGGGAAAGATAAAGACATTGTTCGTGAGAGACATTTGTCGACTCGGTCACAAATGCTCTTTTTTTCTCTCTCCGTGTGGTACCCGTTGATCTGCCGATATGTGTCGCTGAAACAGCTTTAAACAGGGTACAACCCTGTTCCCAGGGTTATCTCCTACTCGTCTTAGGAGAGAACCCTGGGAACGAGGTTGAACAGGGTATATACTTTTACTATTGACAGGATGTCTTTGAGACTGAAGGCTTTTGAACAGTGCAGGGTCAACGTTGGCAGACTGTGCAGTCGACATATACCGTACCAACTGTACCAACGCTTTTTAAAAATCTAATTATGCCATGTTAATTTAAAAAATACTAATAGAGAATTCTCTCTTGAAAATACTTAATTCGGTAAGCGAAATGAAATGAATAAGGGTCATAAAAAATAAGTAGTCTCTTGGTCTCAGGGTAGCAAAATAAATGGTCTTTGTTAGTTTCAGTTGAAGGCCTCATCGGCACACCCCTACAAAACTGAACCCGTGTCCCTCTCTCGCCGGTAAGTTAAAGTTCCAAGTCAGTGCTCACAATAGTTTTACGAAGCAAGCTGTTTGCAGGTCTCAAGGAACACATACCTCATGTCTTCGTTTTTCATTATAATTACGCACACCAGAAAATTTCCGGTGATGTTCAAGATGACCAAAAAGGACTGCATCGTTGTTATGGCGATCTGTGATGATTTCGAACCCGTGAACACATACATATCTTTCAAAGTCTGGTCGATTCCTTCTTAACAGTTTTGTCTCATCTCAGTCTGGTGAGGAAAGGTTCAGCCTGTTACAATTTGTTCAAATGATTCTTTTCGACCGAAAGGTTTTCAGCCTTGACAATCCCATTACTTCTTGGACAGCGCTGAATCTTCCGGACTTTTCTAAGTCAATTAGGCGAAAGGGAACTGCAGCATGGCTATTTCTGTTTTGTAACTCAAAAAGCCCATTGGCCCACCTCATAACAGCTATAGCTGAAACTTTTTTTAACCTGCTATTTTTCTTTGAAATTCGTTTAAATATTTTCTTGTAAAACTACCCCTGCGGAGTTTTTTCATCTCGTTCTTCTTTTCCCGTTTATCTTTCGCGTTGTTTTCCTTTATAGGTTTTTATGCCAACTATAGTACACCCCAGGAAGTACAGGAAACTGAAATCTTGACCCGCTGCCTTCTTTATAAAAGTAAAATGCTTACGAAACAGCCAAGGCCAACTAGTTAAGAAAAAACTCAAAATTACTATCTAGGACAGACGGTAAAAAATAGTCTAAATGAAAACATCCGCAGTTGCAAGGTGACAAGCCAGTGTAATAATAAATAAACATGAATTGATATCGAGAAAAGAAATACACTTATTCGGGGCCCGATTATGGCCTTCCTCGCTTATTATCTTTAATTTACCTATCCTTGTCTCGGGGGTTACTTAACAAACTTTTTTACGGGGAAAATCCGCCCCGAGGTCCAACCCCTTACCATTTTCTATACCCCATTCTCGACTGAAAAGGTACCCCGTTCGTATACACCCTTCATTGACAAATGGTACTCCTTTGAATCCCTTTTAACTGTTGTAAATGCACTGTCTTTCATAAAATTCTTCTGTTAGCCCTTTCAGGTTGTTTTACAGACAGAAATGACAGATTTTCGTTCCCTTTCATATACTTCAGCAAGTGAAATTCCTAGCCTTTCAGGTGCCCCCCGCCCCCCGCCCCCCGCCTGAATCTTTGTTGACGCCACCAGGCGATACCGGCGAAGCGACAGATGAGTATCGTGACCGAAGAAATGAAACACATCTATCTGACAGTGTAAAACTTGAGATTCGGAAAAGGATATTCCTATTATATATTACCGTGGGTTATCTTACCCACTGCCCTAGTACAAAAGAATATTTTAAAGTTTTTTTTTTAAATTGATATATTGACAACTGGAACTCCCTACCCAGTAATATTGTTGAGGCAGACAATGTTATCAACTTCAAGAAGCTTGTGTACTTACAAGCATTTAAGCGATAGATCGCATAATGCATTGACTCTGTACATATCTTATTTGAATTTTATATCTAGTTACATATCGTATTTAACATTATATATTTAGAGAGGGGGTCAGCTTTGTATGAGGATTCAGTTCTTCTCTGTTGGCACCCTTTTTACACTTATCCTTCTTTTTGTCATTTGTTTTTTATTCCAATAAAGTTGTTTCATCAGTAGGTCGAGCATGAGCAGACTGAGCATCAATTATAAATAAAGAATGCCCTTATGACGTTAGTTTATAAGCAGCTCAGCGCAATATCAAAACGATTGCAGTTTACCCATATTTCAGAATTGGCCGCACACTGGAACAATGCGCCTATTTACGTCGAGCGCTCCTTGTCACCTTTTTGACGCGAAGTGAAACACAGCAGGAGAGTAGCCAACACTAGCTGACATGCCATTAATATTTAGAAGTACTCATTTTATTCAAGCTAAAACACCTGAAACTTGTCTAATAACCTTGATTTAACAGACAAAACATGTAAAGATGTCCCTGCATTATACCAGTTTCGAGACTGATTTGATGCACTCTTTCACACTTTTTTCTAAGAAAACCAACAGACATTAATTAAAGGTGGAAAATCGGTCAGGTTCGGTTCTATTACAGCTTAGCAGTTAACATGGAAAACTATATAAATCAATCAGAAAGATCCTGCTGAAGGAGGCGAGGTTGTAAATTATCTATTATGGGTAGAAATGTTATCTTTTTAACTCGAAATTTCGATGGATGAGAATTTTTCCATTTGTAGTGTACTTAGTATTCTATTTAGTCTATATTTTTGGTTTTCTTTGTTTTAAAAATTCACTTTTTAATTAACTATATGGGTGATTTTTTTGTGCATTATCATTATCATAAAAATGGATAAATAAACAGTAAATAATAACCATAAGTTACCTTCTTCATTACTATATAACACAGAGGCTAGTGGCGCGGAGCCAATGATGAAATCGTGCCATGTAAAGGAAATCCTTATCCCTAAAAAAAGCCTTTTAGTAGACTTAAAATTTATGGATAGGGAATCTGTTAGAGCATTTCACAACAATGTTTACCGCGTTTACCAGCAAGTCTGCAGTCTGCGTTTGTCGCACACCGGGCGACCGGGCGAGAGAGGAGACAGGGAAGATTTATAGATGGCAGCAGAAGCATATAACTTATACGCTTCTAATCGCAGTTACGTACTTAGTGCGACAACCGCGCCTAAATTTTGCTTCATATGTTACTACTATAGCTGTCACGGGGAATAGGCAATTTCCGAGTTCCCCCGGGCCTCTGTTTTAAAACGAGGGTAGGTGCTCAGCCTTTGATATGGAAATCATTTTTCATTCTCATGCAAATAAAACTCATTTTCACAAGAAAGGTTGTGCACCTAGCCTCATTTTGAAAGTGAGGGTTTTTGGAACTCGGAAGTGGCCTATTGCACAAGGATGTTACCTCCTGACCTGCATAACGAGCTCTGAGTTTATCACGAGCACGAAGCTAGCGTGTCCCGTGGACGGGACACGCGACGCCTTCTGGGCCACCAGTGCGTAATTTTGTCTTTTTTCGACTAATACAAAACGTAATTTTTGATTGAGCTTTGCCACAAGCGTCACAGGCAGCCGTTTGAAGATTTGGATACTCACCCAGATTCCTTAGGGGCTCTTTAGAAGATATTTTCAAAACATCATAACTCTCTTATTACGTTTGGTTTAAACATTACTCCCTTAATGAAAAGAGTAAAGAATGATAAGAAAAGAACAATTCTGCGTACAATAAAATTTGATGCACGTTGAGAACTGTTTATTATTTAACAAAACTACCTAAGATACTTAATTAAAACCTTAACTTATCATATTGAGTTTACAACGTAGGGCCGGTTACTGCAATTTTCCAGTACTGTCACATGCAGTTACACTGTCAATACTGCCTAGTAAATGCCAATTGCCTTTACACTTATATTACGATCTGGCAAATACCCATTGTTTTGACAGACTATTAATACTGTCGAGTGAATGTCCTCTGTCTTAAAAATTATATTGATGCTGTCGGGTGAATACCCACTGTCCTTGCAATATTAAAACTGCCGGGCAGAATGCATGCCCACTGTCTTTACAATATTAATACTGTCGGTTGAATGCCCTCTGTCTTAACGATATCGGTACTGTTGGGTGAAAGCCCTCTGTTTTAACAATATTACGACTGTCGAGTGAATGTCCATTGTCTTTACAATATACTTGCTGGTTTTCAATGCCCACCACGGTCCTGACAGCATTAATACTGCCAAATGAATGCCTAATGTCTTTAAAATGTTAATACCACCGCCAGGTGAATGCCCAGTGTCTTTACAATATCAACTCTGCCAGGTGAATTCCCAATGTCTTAACAATATTGATACTACCGGGTGAATCATGCCCACTGTCTTTACAATATTAATACCGCCGGTTGAACGCTCACTGTCTTAACAATACTGATGCTACTTGGTGAATGCCACTGTCGCAACAATATTGATACTGTCGGGTGAATCATGCCCACTGTCTCTACAATAACAATACTACTGGGTGAATCAGCCACTGTCTTAACAATATTAATACTGCCTGGTAAATGCCCTTTGTGTTGTCGGATGAATGCCCTGTCTTAACAACATTGATACTGTCGGGTGAATGCCCTCTGTCTTAGCAATATTAATACACTGCAATATTAATGCCCACTGTCTTTTCGATATCAATACTACCGGGCAAATGCCCATGATTGTCTTAACATTATTAATCAGTAATAGCGGGTGAAAAAAAAATATGATACTGCCAGGTGAATACCCATTGTGTTACTCTCAATACGAAAATGCGGAAAGTCTTAACAGTCATTAGAAATCTTGCTTTCTAAGGTTACAGCTACGAACTGATCAATCAACCGCGGGGTGAAAGCCCATTGTCTTAACACTCAATAGAAAAATGAAAGTCGTATATTCATTAAGAATCTTGCTTGCGTAAACTATTAAGTAATCAAAATAGTGTCTTCTCTCATCTGACCAAGCTCCGTTAGATTGCATCAGTGCACTGAATCGGAAATGGCCCTGAAAATGTATTCAGTAAAGCATATGTCAGATATGTTACAACTTTGATCCTATCCTATCCAAGGCAAGGAAGGGGGCATTTTTTAATTTGCAGTTTTAATGTGTCTTTTTTTCTGCATAGAAATACAGCATATCACTTTCAATTTTGGCCCGTCGATTGGAAGAGAGCTTATTCCCGCAAGGAGAGGGAGGGTCGATTATTGGAATTAACGGGATGTATATTACTCAGACGAGGAAGCATGACTTGATTAAAAGTGATAGTAATTTGATGTTGGATGTAAACTGTAAAACAAAACCAAAGATTTAATGATTCTTTTTTTATAATATTTTTTATTTCGATTAATTTCAGACCAGGAGCCCATGGACTCCTGTTTCAGACCTACTTTTAGTATTTTTATAATCAAACTTACTATGCCTTACCTTCATCATACTGTCCATAGTCATTGTTTTCGACAGCTATTCGCTCAGTCATCGAAAGGTCACGAAGCAGCGTAGTTTGATTCTGGTGTCGATTTAATCCTAACGGGGAAAACAAAACAACTTAGCGATCACCGTAAAATTTGAAAAAGTACTTAAAATACTTGACTAAGTTAAGTGTTTTAAAACTAAATGTAAGTAGGTGAGGATTTTTTAACTGTTCACTTTGATGTAAAAGTTAAGTGCATGTGTACTACAAGGATGACACTGCTCTTAATTTATTAGCGTCGGTTGTCTTTGAGCTCCGTTGAAACCGAAAGAGACCTTTTCGGGGAACACTCCAGTGGTGAGGCGTGTTGTCAGGTATTTCAGGCGTCGTGACCGGTCAATTCTGCTAGTTAGTTAAATCAATCGCATAACTTATTTAGTCATTCTACAGCTGATTCTAGTCAGGCACCGTACATCATTAACGTTGTCATAAAACCTTGGCGATGGTTTCTAACATTTCTAGCCCCTTTTCTTTTGTACTAGGTCCTGCTGACGTGGTTTTTATAGACTGCGTGGCAGGCGTTGGAAAGGGAAGGGGAAGGGAATTAGGGAAGGCTACGGTTTTTAGGGCAAGCCTTTTCCGGTCTAATTTTTCAGCTAACAAGACTACCCCTCCCTGTCGTTCGCTTGTATCAGTTTCGCCCTCTAGAATAAAGAAAACAGAATACAGAATACCGAATTCAATTTATCGAAGGGCAAGCAAAGTTATTAAGTCCAGTAACCGAGGCACTAGGTTGCTGGATTACGACTTGTCGTTCATTGTTCTTTTTACAGTTATCGTTAATAATTAATAAAAAGCTTTACTAGAGGTTTGTGCGCCAATTCAAGTCGACGCAAGGCTACAACTAAGTAAACACGAAGAATTAAGCTTCCTTTAGAAGGTGCGGTTCACTGAAGGAATTGCCTTTTTTGACAATGTTTACTTTAGGTAATCCTTCAGTGAGGGAAGTAGTTCCTGTTATCGATTCCCCCGACAATATGTTTAGTCTTTTGTATGGCCTAGAAACTATTAAAGCTATTATTTGATCAATTCTTCAAAGCAAAACTGGCGCTATAACCTTGGTCTGTCTTTACGAATTCGTACAAAGGATAAAAGGCACCAACAGAGTTCAGAGGCCCTTATCAGTAGGTAACTCTAATCGTCTGTTTGCGTCAACAACTGAACAAAGCAGCGCAAATCTGGTTAGTGGCCTCAATATTTTGGGTAAACAAACGGAGGTTGCCAGGGAACCTTAATTGATTCTAGTCAACTTTATTCTTCAGCACGATCTCCTGTTTGGGAGCGCTTACCATTTGTATGGAAACCCGGAAATTCCGAGGAGAATTCAAATGGAACAGTTCATCCCGGTGGAAGTTTTCCGGAAAAAAAGTATATCTTTCGAGCTACTACCTTTTTCCCATTTTTACCGAAACGACCGAAATTTTCTGTACCATTTGGTTGGATTACTAGTGCCAGGCTTCATGTAGTGAGAAAGCGAAAATGTTACCGGTATTTTGTAAATGGTACAACTCAATCTCGTTCCTGTTTTCGGTGACAAAAAAATATACCAGTACTATTTCACGGGAATTTTTCACTGAAATTTCTATACAAAAGGTAAGCGCCTAACATCTCAAAGTCAACAGGGTCAAGCTTACTTTTTTTTAATGTAGAATGAATTGTGCAAACTTAGCACAATGCGTCTATAATTAGAAGAAATACTAAAATAGCAATAATTTTCCTCACAACACAAGTTCCATTTCTTCCTTACTTTGGTTAAGGCGTTGCAATCCTAATACAGGCCCTCGGTTGCACCAATACTGCCAATAAGATCCAAACAGCCACACGAACACATTGCAGCACACATTGTACGCTCCTGTCATCATAATTCTAAAGATTATCATCGCACGGCGAAGAAATTGCTGAAGGTGAAAAGCCCAAGACATGTCATTTACCGGAAACATAGACTTCAAGTACAAGTGATTGTTGTTTTTTTTTGGTTTTTGCTACTCTGAACCAAAAAATCTCCCCAGCTCTCAATCGACCATTCAAGTAGATCGGTCACTGAAGAGACAGAAATGGCCGATTTGAAACCTTTAGACCTCAAACTGATTACACTTTCTCATGTTCCTAAGTCATCTGATCCGGCCACGACCCTCCCTCAATCCTTAACCCTATTCACGACAACAACAATAGGCTTTATTTGCATGACTATAAAAAAGTATTACAGTATCGCAAAAGCGCTAGCTACTTTTAATTATTGATTCCTTTTTAATTTAATTATTTTAAATAACTTCAAATATAATAATTATTGCTTATTTTCAACCATCAGTAGGATTAATGATTCCAAAGACAAGTTTGTCTCTCAATTCAAAGCAAGATGATATAAATGAAATTAATTGGATGTTGATAAAATAGTCAGTAGAATTCATATATTAGATGTGTTAATAAGGTCTCATGTGATTGTAGTCGTAGAAACGGTATTTTAGGTTCTAGTTTAGAGAAGAACATCTCTCTTATCGAAGATAAAACTTGGACAATCTAATAAAAAGTGAGTTTCATCTCCAATTCTGTTGCAATTTCAGAGACTTCTGACCTTTTATCACCTGGTGTATTGTCGTATCTACCTGTCTCAATCCTATTAATTTTGTGACTGCTTTAATTCTCAGTTTCACTAATGCTTTCCTAGAAGGGTTTTCCACTAGGGCTTTCCACAAGTTGCTCGAGATTTTCCGGAAAATTCCCCGTAATTTCTCAAAAAGTTGCTCAAAAAACAATCAAAAGTTGCTTTTTGCTACGAAAGTTGCTCAGACGTTGCTCGAAAAAACAAAAACGATTTTTTGATCTGATGCTAAAACATGCAAACTGTGCAGCAAAGTAACATTTCTAAGCATTTTTGTGCAATTTTAAGGCGTAACCAGCGTTGCTAAATAACTTTGTCCTCAATTAAGACCAAAAACGTAATGTCGATCGAGCCAATTAAATTTGTTGAATGACCTTCTTCAGTCAGTCAGTCAGTCAGTCTAGTGTGAACCTTTGTCCACCATTTTGAATTTTCTCTAAAAACCGTTGACCTAGCAGCCCAGCTACTTTTATCTTGCACCCATGATCTACCCTAGCGGGGGGGGGAGGGTTTGGCTCCTTCACAGGAAATTCATAATTTGTCTACTAAAACATTGTGAAGTATGGAAGAAAGGCCAATTTAAAAACAAAAACTGCTCCGACAGGGACCGTTTTAAAGTGGTAAAAAAAATCTGGCCAATTTTAAGTCCTTTATCTTGCAATCTTATTTACCAACAAAACGTCGTCACTTGTTATGGTATCCAGTAATGTCGATCGATTAGCCAATAAAATTGTTGAATGACCTTCTTTAACAGTCCCAGATCCCTGTATCCTTAACTGTCGAGATGTGAACCTTTATAGTCGTCACCATTTTGAATTTTGGGCTTAGGAGCTGAAGCTAAAATAGAAAGCCGTCGACCCGTCTAAAGTGATCTTTAGCAGTTTGAGGATAGCTTAGTGCACCAGCACCAACCTCCAGTCTGGCCGGAGTGCGTTTTTTTCTTGAAAGCTTGGTTCACAAGCCATCATCGATTTTTGTGAGCGTCTCCTTTGTTACATTTTCCAGATGTTGTCCACCGACAGCAGCCATCTTAGTACCCTGGGGCCCGTTTCTCGAAAGGCCCGGTAACTTTTCGGGCCCGAAATTTGGCTCCTTCCTGGCTAAAAAAAAAACTCCATTTTATTTCATTAACTGATAGTTTTAAATTCATAAACGGCAACAGCTACTTAAAGAAACGGGCCCCTGAAGATCCTTACTGAGATAGATTATCGGTGTGGGAATAAAGGTGGCAAGATGCAAAGTCAACAAAAAGTCAATTTCCAAACGTTAAAATCCTTGCACGCACATCGGGTTGTAGTCGTTCGGACAAGCAAACATCCCACTCTTCCATAGGGTAAAGTCCAATAATTCCACGGGGATTTTTTCCATGTCAACTGGAATCCTATGATATAAATCCCAGCAATAAAAGTGGTAGGGCTATAGCCCTACCAGCCCCTCCCCCTCCGCGGTCCCTGTCCGATATCTCAGAATTAGAAGATAATTGGAGAAATTGCTCAGAATACATAAAGTTGCTCGAAATACGGGAAGTTGCTAACAAAGTTGCCGAGCAACTTGTGGAAAGCCCTATAATCTTCACGAAATTTAACAAAATTCAGACAGTGGAAACTGTCACCAAATTGAGTAAAACATATAAATAACCGCTCAAAACGTGAAAAGGAGGTACAAATACACGGCAGTTGTGGTTCATCCAGCCGTAACACTGAAGACACAGCCCCCTTTGAACGCCCCCACTTTTTTCCGAAATATTAAGTTAAAAAATGAAATATTGGCTTGGATTGATTAATCCTATTGGGTACTCTTGTTGTGCTACTCCAATCACGCAGAAAATTCCTAGAAATAAAGACAACGACAAACATCAGATCATAACAATATTCATACTTTATTGATAATTTTTACCCCTTTAAGTTCATTTTTTTGATGTAAGTTTTATTTCTCATACAAACTCTCTTTAGTAGTCGTATAGCGCTCTTGTGGCATTTCTATCATGATCAAGAATTTAAAAATTTATCTTCGCGACACAAAATCCGATTGCGCTGACTAAAACCTACAATCTTGGACAAAATAAATGGAAAACCTAGACCCCCCCCCCCCCCCCCAAATCAAGGATGGGAAGATGGCGCGTTTTTACCCTTCGCGCGACTTCATCCTTGATTTGGGGGGGATGGGGGTTTGCTGTTCCCTTTTATTTTGTCCAAGATTGTAGCAACGCCCTTTTCCCGCTGCCATACTGGTTCAAGCCCATCTCTATTAACCCCTAAACACCACCCTCTATTACGGTTCTGTAGTGAATCAGAAACTAATAATGAAAAGATTTCCCAAGTGAAGTCGTCTGGTTTGATATTTGACCATAAAGAGGTCTCCGTTTAGTTAAAGGCAATCAATCAATCAATCGGTCAGTCAATCAATGAACGACGCATATGGGCCCTGGAGTCCACCCAGGTGTAGTGAATTCTCGCAGTGGGGTCGGGTGGGGTGGGATTTGTCCTTGCTTTCATAAGTATGTGCCACAAGAAAGAGTAAGGAGCCAAGTATCAGTGTAGTCTGGAACACGGTTTGGCTTAGTCATGATAGGGTATCAACCAAGCCACACCTAACATCAAGGGCTTGATGGAAAAATCAAAATCTTGAGCCGCGTTTCCTGTATTATTTCTTAGAGATAATAGAGTTTCTAGCTGAGTTTGTCGGGGATAGCAATGGCGGATTCAGGGGAGGGGCCCGGGGGCGGCCCTCCACCTCATTTTTTGACCAAACTGAGGCCTGAAGGGTCGAAAAAATTTTTTTTAGACCGGGTCTTCCCCTTATCTCAGGGTCTGGATGACCGTCCTCCCCCCCCCACCCCACCCTTCGCCTTATCTGAATGTCTGGATCCGCCACTGGATAGAGCATGGATTTGGTGCCCATAGTAGAAAAAAAAAGGGTTGAAAAATAGAGTTTTCTAATACAGATCTAGCTTAAAGTACCTTTGAACCGGCGTTTATTCTTAACTAGTGTCAGCTAGATGGGCCTGGCTTTATATTTACCTTTACATTTAGAACTCCTTCTTTTGATTTTGGACCCAGTTTTTCTTCAGAACCCGGGGTGAAAAAGACAATATGTGTGTGCGTGGAGGGGAGGGGGAGGGGGGGTGCTCAATAAGGTTTTATAAGGGGAGGCTCCACCCCGAGTTCTAACCCCTTACCGTTTAAATACCATTTTTGACAGAAAAGGTATCCCTTTCGTATGCCTTCTACTGACAAATGGTACCCCTTTCGTATACTTTGCTTAGAAATTTACATCCCTTTTAATGAACTGTCTCTAATATTTGAATAAATCACAAACAAAAACGTTTTCTCGACTTTTTCACGGCCAAAAAATGCGCCTGTTAGCCCTTTCGGGACTTTTACAAATCAAAATGACAGATTTTCCTACCCTTTCATATACTTGAGCTAGTGAAATCCCTACCCTTTCGTAAACCTGAAGCCCGAAAAGGGTACCCCTTTCTGGAGGAGCTTCCTTGTATAGGCAATAATGAGGCTACACCCCCTCCCGGGGCCCCACCCATCAAACGGGTGTCTCTAGGGAGCAGTTCAAACTGAAAAAGTTATAACTGCCACTAAAAACTTGTCTCTCTATTTTCATCCCGGTATCTGGCAGAGGAACGTTCACGTTTTTGTGACATTTCGTGTCAGTTTTTAAGCTAAGTGCACTGCAATTTGTTTTGTTTTTGCTCTTAACAAAAGAGCACAACATGTTAAGACCATCCACCGTAATATACCTTGAACAACCAAGGCTAAACCATTTCAGGTTTTTGTTTGGTGTTCTCGATATGCTGGCTGCCAGTTCAACAACAACATCGTCATCGAGTTCTTTGCATTTTCCAATTGCACGCAATCCTAAATATTCTAAGCTCTTAATATTTGTCACTTGAGGAAGGGCTAAGTTGAGTCCTCTTGGGGTGATTAGCGGACAGCTCCCCAGCTCCAAATGTATCAAGCGAGAACTCTCCCACTTTATACTCTGTAATGTATTGTCGTCTATACCGATGCCGTCAAGTACAAGGGTCGTGAGATGCACACAAGATTGAAGCATATCTTGAACAAAGCTGCCCCCCAACGTATGGCATTTACGGACGCTGAGGACCTCTAGCTTCCTACAGCACGCGAACATAGCAACAGTGCTATCTTTGAGTAGCAGGCAATGGCTCAAATCCAAGAAACGCAAGTTTGTCATTCTTTTGATCGTTGTTTCCAAGTTGTTGTCTTTAAACAGTGTATAAAGAAA